GCATTAAAGGTCTGCGCCACCACCGCTTGGCTATCTCTCCCTGCTTCTTGACAGCAGATGCAAAGTCACCAGCTGCTTCATACTCCTGTAATAGAGCCTTCCCGCCGTGATGGAGCCGAAACTGTGAGCCTAGGTAGGCTCTTCTTTCCCCTGTCAGTTACTCTTCTCATCGATGTGATAGGACACCTGACGGAGTCCAGTGAGAAAGGAGGCACTGGTTTTTGGGTCCCAGTTTGCTGGGCAGTCGTCCTTCACAGTGGTGTCATGGTGCCAGGAGGCTGAGGCGCTTGTTGGTCACACTATATCCACGGTACGGAAGCGCAGCGCCATGAATGCCACCACTTAGCTCCTTTCTCCTTTTTATTCTGTCTGGGTCCCCAGCCCATGGAAAGGTGTCATCTACATTTAGTGTGAATCGCCTCCCCTCGATTCATCTAATCTGGAAATGCCTGCACAGACCTGCCTGGAGATTTGTTTCCATGGTGATTCTAAGTCCTGTCAAGTTGACAAAATCAATCATTAACATTTTCTTTCTTTTCTTTTTTCTTTTTTTTTTTTTTTTTTTGGTTTTTTGAGACAGGGTTTCTCTGTGTGTAACTTTGGAGCCTGTCCTGAAACTCACTCTGTAGCCCAGGCTGGCCTCAAACTCATACCTGCCTCTGCCTCCGCCTCCCAAGTGCTGGGATTAAAGGAGTGTACCACCACCACCCGGAAATACTTTCTTTTTTTATACAATATATTTATTTTTATTTTACGTGCATTGATGTTTTACCTGCATCTACGCTTGTGTGAAGGTGTCAAATCTCCTGAAACTGGAGTTACAGACAGTTGTGAGCTGCCATGTGGGTGCTGGGAATTGAACTCAGGTCCTCTGGAAGAACAGCCAGTGCTCTTAACCTCTGAACCATCTCTCTAGCCCTGGCATTTTCTTAAGTTACTCTCATCAGAAATTTTTGTCACTGTAATGAGAAGCTACTACACATCCCTGTGATGATTTGTCTCAGGGAAGATTTTAGGATGGAAATGATTTCCCCACAGGATTTTGAAGGCTTTACTCTATCATCTGTGGTTTCCAGAGTCATAATGAAGAAGCTTAAAGGCATTTTGAGGCTGGGCAGTGGTGGCGCACACCTTTAATCCCAGCGCTTGGGAGGCAGAGGCAGGAGGATCTCTGTGAGTTCGAGGGCAGTCTGGTCTATAAAGTGAGTTTCAGGACAGCCAGAACTGTTACACAGAGAGAAACCCTGGGTACTCACTGGGTCCTTTCAGTTTGGAAATTTACGTCCTTGACTTCTGGGAATTGTATTGAATTACTTCACTGGTAATTTATTCCCACTCTTTTTTTTTTTTTTTTTTTTTTTTTTTCTGTTCCTTGTTTCTAGAACTCTGGCATTTGGCTATTGACCTTCCTAGACTGGTCATTAAATTTTTTTTTTTTTTTTTTTTTTTTTTTTTTTTTTTTTTTTTTTTTTTGTCTTTCGAGACAGGATTTCTCTGTGTAGCTTTGGCTGTCCTACTCACTCTGTAGACTAGGCCACCACAGCCTGCCTTCTATTTTTAAGCTTTTTTTTTTTTTTTTTGGTTTTTTGAGACAGGGTTTCCCTGTGTACTTTTGGTGCCTGTCCTGGATCGCGCTCTGTAGACCAGGCTGGCCTCGAACTCACAGAGATCTGCCTGCCTCTGTCTCCCGAGTGCCGGGATTAAAGGTATGCGCCACCACCACCCAGCTTACTTTTAAGTTTTAAGAGGTCCTTTTAACCTTCTGTAGCACTCACACTTGGCTAGCATCCTCTTAATCCTAGGTGCAGCTCCATCCTTTGCCGCACTGGAAGGTTAATGAGTTTATTTCTTCCTTGTACTCTCCCTACCTGACTGTTTTCCTTGCTCCCTTTTTACACTGGTGCATTTCTTTTTCTCTCTTTCTTCTTCTTCTACTTCTTCTTCTTCTTTTTTTTTTTGCATTTCTTTCAATGTCTCATGACCCTTGAGTTTTCTGAAGCGGAGGCTGTGGCCGGTGAGTGGGGCTTGGCTTGTTCAGACAGAGCCGGCATAGTTATCTGCCTGGGTTGTCCTTTTGGGGAACCATTCCACACTCTTCAAATGTTCTCCCCTGGGATAGTCATGGCCCCCAAAGAAGCTTCCTTCAGTCTATGGCCTGGAGGAAGAAAGTGTAACTTCTGGCATTCTGACCACAGGAGAAGATGATGCTCTGCATCAGGGTGAGCTTGTAACCTTCTGTGTCCGGGGACTAGACTTCCAGTCTTCTTTATGGGACGGCTGAGTTAGTCACTTCTGGGTCACTGAGACTAAATAACCAACAGAAGGAAAGCTTTATTTTGGTTGATGGTCGAAGAATTGTAGTTCACCATAACAGGGAAGGTAAGACCCCGTGGCTCGGGCATGACAGTCGGAGTTGGGGACAGTGGCTATTCACATCAGATTAAGAAGCACAGAGAGCAGGAACAATTAGGGGCTTGTATAACCTTCAAAAGCCACCCCCTAGTATCCAATTTCTGTCAGCCAGGCCCCAATTTCTAAAAGTCCCAGGCCTTCCGAATAGTGTCACAGCCCAGGGGCCAAGCATTCAAACAAGAGCCTACGGGGAACAATTCAGATTCAAACTGTGTCTTAATTACTGTTCTATTGCTGTGAAGTAGCATCTTAGAAGAGACAACTCTTAAAAAAGGAAGTATTTAATTGGAGGCTTGCTTACAGTTTTAGAGGATGAGTCTATGATCATCATGGCAGAAAGCAGATGGGCATGGTGCTGAGAGCTTTGTATCCTAATCTGAAGACAGCAGAGAGAGACTGGACCTGGTGTGGGCTTTTAAAACCTCAAAGCTCACCTCCAGTGAACACCTACTACAAGGCCACACCTCCTAATCCTTCTCAAACAGTTCCACTCTCCAGTGACTAAACATTCAAATATATGAGCCAATGGGGGGCCATTCTCTCCCATCACTCATTCAGACCATCACAGGCCATAAAAGGGGCACTCGGGGAAACGTTCTGTTTACCAGTTTATCCTAAGAGGGCCAGATGAAGAGGTAAGAGGTACATGGCACGAGGTATGTGAGGTGGGTCCCCGGCACAGGAACATGTGTTGTAGTGTTGGATGTGTCACTCTCTTGAAGTATGGAAGCTATTCAGACCCTGTCCATTGGGTTTTTATGGAAGTTCTGTTTCTGAAGGTATGATTAAGTTATCTGCCTATGTGATTTGCTCAATCTTCATCCCTCTCCCCTCTGAAAAGATTTCAAGTTCTCATCCTCTTATCAAATGGTTGGTTCCTCTGGCAGCAAGCCTCCATCCTAACATATAAAGATATACTCTTGGGCTGGGGATGTAGATCAGAGTGTTTATCTATCATGCAAGAAGCCCCGGGTTCAATTGTTGTGGGAATCTTTCTGGAACAAGCACTCTGACACTAACGAGAGTGGAAGAGAGGAGATGTCACAGAGGACCGAAGCCAGGAGAGCTCCTGGAAGCCTTTGATACCGGGTCCAGTTTGTGTTCGCATTTTATGCTCTAAAACCACAAGGTGGGGTGGGCAAGCGAGTGAGATCTTAACAGAAGCGTACATGACAGTCAACAGGTTGCTAGGGGCAATGGCCCATTGTTTCCAGGTCTTTCGTTTCAGGTAGCAAGGGAAGTCACTCTTGGCACATAGGCAGTACAGTCAGTCAGTGCTTTACATAAATCACTAAATAAATCAATAAATTCGACAGGGCTGGAGAGATGGCTCAGCGGTTAAGAGCATTGACTGCTTTTCCAGAGGACCTGGGTTCAATTCCCAGCACCCACATGGCAGCTTACACAACTGTAACTCCAGAATCCAACACCCTCACACAGACATACATGCAGGCAAAACACCAATACATACAAAATAAAAAAAAAAACAATAAATTCGGATCTAACAATAATAACTGGCCTTTTCTACCTAATTCCTTTTTTTTTTTTTTTTTTCCAGAGCTGAGGACCAAACCCAGGACCTTGCGCTTGCTAGGCAAGCACTCCACCACTGAGCTAAATCCCCAACCCCTCTCTACCTTTTTCCACTTCACAGTCTTCAGCATTGCATACACTCGGTGTGGTGGTACACATGTGTAATCCCAGCACTCAGGAGGTGGAGGCAGGAGGATCAGAAGTTCAAAGTCATCTTTAGCTACACAGTGAGTTTGACGCCAGACTGGCCTGCATAAGACTCTATCGAAAATAACAAAATGCCCTTAGCACTCTAGATCCCGAGGCCTTAGTGGTTCTTTTGACAGAGACCAAGAGCAGAGGCTAAAGACCTTGCCTACTCTGTACTTACAGTGTAGGCACAGGTGTGGTTGATAAAACCTTGTCTGTACAGGCAAGTCTTCACGACACCCCTTTCTAGCCCCTCTTTCTCTACCCCCCGTCACATGACACATACAATCTGAGCATAGGGAAGCAGAAGAGAGTGGCCAACATTCTGGGCTCCATCCGTCCTCGCCTGCATGTATGAGCCTAGGCACACACAGCCTCTCTACGCCGCAGTCTCCACCTGAAACACGGGTGATGGAACACTCCTCTAAGACACTGGAAAGATCCTCTAAAACATGACCAGTTATGATCTGATCACAGTACCTCACCAAGATGGCTTAGTCAGGGAGGCAAGTGTCAGCTGAGAGCTTTCACACCAGTCCAACCTTCGTCTCCAACTTGGAGATGGACATGCAGATCAGAGAGAAGAGGACTTGTCTAAGCCCCTTTCTTCCCTCATTTATCATGGATAAGGGGGGTAGACAAAGGCACTTTCTGCTTCAAAATGACTTCTTATCTAGGGAGACTGCCTATTTCTAGAAACATCCAAAGAGCCTTATGAAGCCAGAGGTCTGCCTAGAAACCAGTGATGAGAGCCCTGGCCAGCCAATGGGATCATGCAGGCCTTCTACCTGCTTAGGGAACTCCCCCTTATCCTGCCCAGGGAGAGCAGCTTTGAGTGAGTGGGGTATTTCCAGATTTGTGGCTTTCACTTCCACATCTACCAAGTGGGCGGAGTGACCTGCTGTGGACGAATCAGATTCCTCTCTGCACCAGCTTCAAGAGGTGAACCCGGGGCTCAAGGGTCCCAGACACCCAGCAGCAGGAGCAGCAGCAGCAGCAGCAGCGCCTGTGGAGAAGACTAGAGACCGGAACCATGGACGACCAGCGCGACCTCATCTCTAACCATGAGCAGGTGCCCATACTGGGCCAGCGTCCTAGAGCCCCGGAAAGGTATGTGTGAGTACCAGCAGAGAGCCCTCAGTTCCGGAGGGCACAGAATGCAGGCCTGGGAAGGGACACTGCATTGAGTTGCAGGAAGGCTGCCTTGAGCACTGACTTTCTGAGTGCTTTTTTTTTTTTTTTAGCCAGGGTCTCTCTATACAGCCCTGGCTTTCTACGTAATGAAACTCACTCTGTAGACCAGGCTGGCCTCGAACTCACAGAGCTCCTCCTGCCTCTGCCTCCCAAGTGCTGGGATTAAAGGAGTGCACCATCACGCCTGGCTCTGAGTAATCTTGAACCCCTGCCCCCCACCCCCACCTGCTAAGGGTATGGGCTTCCCTTTCTGTAAACCGAGGGGCTCCTTTAGGATGTGTAAGTGTTAAGAGGGCCCCGGGTTCACTCCTCAGAGTTTCACAATGTAAGGGACTTCACGGACCCGCTGAAGCTGGGCCGTGACTGAAGACCATAGTGTTCCTCCCTCGGATGAGCTCTCAACTTTTCCTCAATAAGTCTGCTTGCTCTCCTAGCCTCAGATCTGGAAAAGGTTCCGATGCCAGTGGAGAAACCATTTCTGAGGACAGTAGAAGCAACCCAGTCTTTCCTTAACTGCCAGAGGACCGGTATGAGCCTAGATAAGCATGTCCCCGCCATACCGGAGTCCACACCTGAATCAGGATTAGCCTTTCTCTGTGGGTAGGAGCTGGCTGCCATCCTAGCAGCTGCTCAGAGAGAAGGGGCTCCTGTTACATCAGTGGAAGGGGCTCAGCTCTGCCTTGGGTCAGACCCATCTACGAACCTCTTTTTTGCAACAAGAGGCTGCCCCAGCCCTCCAGATAGCCCCAGGCTCCTCTCCCAGCCCCCAAAGGACCTCAGCCTTGTGCCCTCCACCCCAAAAACCCCAAACAGGACTAGAATTCACCTGCCTTCTTGCCCTCCCTCCCCCACCGCAAGCTCCCACAGACCCGATTTGCTGCCTACGGGGATTAAAACCAGATGTGACGTCAGCTGTTTCCAGGCAGAAAGGGATTTGAGAGAGACTCTGAGATATCTTGTGCAGAGGAATTGTGTTCTGGAAAGACGGTAACCAGATATAGATTAGTAGAGCAGTGGGGAATTCCAAGGCAACTTTACTGCTGTTGTCGGTGACCACAGAAAAATCACAAGCCCCTTTCTGGGTCCCAGCTTAATGGCAATAGCTATAGGAACAGTCCACCTAGCATTTACTTTTCACCAGTCCTCAGATACTGTTGACTGTTATTGTAGTAATAACCAAGCGACAGACTCTATCTTAATTCTTACAGTTACTGTAGCTAGGAGTTGGACATTTTTATTATCTCCCTTATCCTTGCCCTTGTCTTTTTTTTTTAAAGACTGGTTTCACTGGCTGGAACTCATTGTGTAGCCCAGGCTGGCCTTGAGCTAATAGATATTTGCTTACCTCTCTCTGCCTCCCGAGTGTTGGGATTAAAGGTGTGTGCCACTATGCATTTTCCCCATCATGCATTTCCCCCATTTTCACGCAAAAGGAATCTGAGCTTATCTTGGTGAGCAACTTCCAGGTTGTCTCAGCTGGTGAGTGTTGGACACAGCATTTGAACCCTGACTAGTCTGAGTTTGTTCTCCTTTGTGGGTCCTTTAGAGGCCTCCTTTGTGGTGGGGGGAGCTGGGAGCCCCCTGACCTCAGGCCACTCAGGGAGGGCTGTGTTCAGAGATGGTTCCTTAAGCTCTCAGGCCATTCCAGACAGGGTTTGATTTGGGGCATTTCTCGTGAACACTTCTGCCTGGCAACATCTGTGTCATGATTCCCGATAGTTCTGATTGGCTTCTGACTTTAGCCAGTTACCTTTTTTTTTTTTTTTTTTTTTTTTTTTGCTGTTTAATTATAAAAGGGGGAAGTAGAAAGGAGGAAGTAAAACCAGGAGGTGACAAGAGTTAGCACTCAATCAGAACCAAGGGCCAGACAATCTAGAGACGGAAGAGGCTGGGTGTGACTGTGCATGCCTATAATCCCAGCATTTGGGAAGTGGAGGCAGGAAGATCAGGGGTTCAAGGTCAGCCTCATCTGCATGAGACCATCTCAGAAAAACAAAATAGCAGTAAATTTAATACAAGAGGAAGGAGAGCAGATGCTAGATCTGACATCTAGCCTCCCGAGAGCAGTATTATTGATAGAGAAAGATGTGTTACACGTTGGGGTGTTTCATTTCTACATTATTTTTATTTATTTAGGTTTTTTTGAGACAGGTTTTTCTCTTTGTAGCTCTGGCTGTCCTGGAACTCACTCTGCAGACCAAGCTGGCCTCGAACTCTGGGATCCTCCTTACTCTGCCTCCCAAGTGCTGGGTTTAAAGGCGTGCACCACCACCACTACCACCACCACCACCACCACCACCACCACCGCCCCCTCCATCTCTGTGTTATTTAACAACCTCTCATTCCAAGCTCTTGCCCATTTCACAAGCAGAAGTGTTGACTTGCTCACGCTCCCAGAGTTAGGCAAGCAGAAGAGCCTGGATGTTAATTATGGCTAGCTGCTCTCATCTTCAATACAAACCCGAGTTTTTCGGCCTTCTGAAAAACTGAAGTTCAGAACGGGGAGGGATGAAGCTTCCCCAAGGTCATGTGATGAGAGGTAGAGCTGGGACTAGATCTGAGTATGGGGTGGTAGAGGGGTTCAGGGGTTCCATGAGTTACCCAAGTAGATAATAAAGCAGAGGACCCTGAGCCCAAGCTACATCTTCCTTCAGAAGGCCAGGAAGTTGAACTTATTCCCCCTCCTGGTCTGGTCTCCCTTCCCCAACAAAGAGTTTTTGCTTTCTCCTTCCAAAATAACTCTTCTTGGGTCAGCCGTGGGCTTAAGGAAATACAGAGGGTTGGCAGGCATAGAGCCAATGAAAATTAGCGGTGTCTGTGACATCGTAAGTCACTAGGCAGACAGGTCTTCTGGAGTTTCCTAAATCTCCCTTCCTGGTTGCTGGAGTAGGCAGGACGAAGACTCCTCATGGGAATTTCTAATGGAGTCTGTCTTAGTCTGAGTTACTATAATATACTGTGCATACATATTATACATATAATATATACTGTATACTCTATCCTCCTTACAAGGGTGCCTAACTCCATTCACTAAAACACTAGACCTTTAAAGGGGACATGTTCAAACATCAGCAGAGAACTGATAGTTCTTCCCACCCAAGGGCTAAGTGGGGGAAGAAGGGACAGGAACTCTCAGGGTCTCGAGTCAGGATCCTTATGTTCTATACGGTAACACGTGCATGCACCCCCAAACCAGTATTCAAAGCCCCAAACTGCAAGCAGTCACTGAGGTCTGAGGGTCTGGCCACCCAAGAGCACGAGACATTCATCCAGGCCTAGCCTTTTATGTTGCTGTTGAATTCCCCCCACTTGGCTATCACTACGAGGTGCTTCTATGGCCACAGTCAGAGCTTGTTTCAAAGAAAACTGTGCAGGGGAGATGGCCCAGTTGATACACAGGCACGAGCACCTGAGTGTGAGTCTCAAACACCCATTTGAAAAACAAGCACTAATCCTAGTGTTGGGGAGGCAGAGACAAGAGGATCCCTGGGTTTGTTGGCGAGACAGTCTAGCTGAATCGTTGAGTTCCAGGTTCAGTGAGAGACCCTGCCCCGAAAAATAAAGTGGAGAGCAACTGAGGAAGACACTTGAAGTAGACCTCTGGTCTCCACACACATGTACACGAGCACCCATACATACATGCACATGTAGCACACCACACACACACACACACACACACACACACACACACACACACACACACACACACACACACACAAACTGGGGAAGAACCAAGATTTAGAATTGCTGGGGTAAGAGTTACTCATGTGACACGTGACAGAAGCTGGGAGACTGGGGAAGATTTGTCCAAAGATTCCCAGAGACTGGTACAGAGGCTGCATCTCTGGAGTGGGTGGCATCTGGCCCTGCTCCAGCCTGATAATGTCCCCCCTCCCCAAATGTCTAGGCTCCACTTCTCTTTTTCAGGTATGCATGTTCTTTGCTGTCCCTGTCGCATTTCCTTCCCTTTTCTCTTTAAACCTGACGTCACTGCAGGGATTGGGGATAACGCAGGGGATGGAAACCCTACTTTCTCTTACATAGTAAAAGCAACTGCCAACCAAATAAAACAAACAAACAAACAAACAAACAAACAAATAAATAAATAAATAATTAAGACCGAATCCTTTTCTCCTGAGGGCAGCTCTGCTCCAGATCTCCAGAGGGTAAAGAGGGAGGACACGCCACTTTATCCCGTCACTACATGGATGGGACACCAAAACCCAGAGTAGGCAAGGGATTTGGCTCATTCTTCCCCATCGAACTTGGGCTCCAAGTGGATCTGATTTCTTCCTAGGAAGGACACTGGTGGTCAGCTGGGGTGGGATGGGGGATGGGGACGTTCCACACACACCTCTCTTATAGCCAGGTTATTGGGAGGGCATGACATTAGTCTGAGGGGACATGGGTGGGGGCGTAAGTCCCCTCTCCCAGCCAGCCTCCCACTCTGGACCATTCTCTTACTCCCTCCTCACAACAGGTGCAGCCGTGGAGCCCTGTACACAGGCTTTTCTGTCCTGGTGGCTCTGCTCTTGGCTGGGCAGGCCACCACTGCATACTTCCTGTACCAGCAGCAGGGCCGTCTAGACAAGCTGACCGTCACCTCCCAGAACCTGCAACTGGAGAGCCTTCGCATGAAGCTTCCTAAATGTGAGCGTTCCACCTGTCCTGACCACCTCACGGGCCCCACCCGTTTCTCCATCTAGCGCTTCCCATCCCCCATCCCTGGGTTTCAGATCTCAACCCCTGGTGCCCTATTCCCTTGGACCTGGACTCAGGCTGTCTTGTCTTCCCTGCCCCACAGCTGCCAAACCTGTCAGCCAGATGCGGATGGCTACCCCCTTGCTGATGCGGCCACTGCCCATGGAAAACATGCTCCAGGGGGTAAGGAAGGCGGCAGGGAGGAAACGCCAGCTGGTCTAGGCAGCAGGCAGGTGCCGAAGGGCAAAGGTTGACAAGTGACAAGCAGGCAAGGTCTTAACTGCTGGGAAGGAGCAGGGTCCACCTCAGAGAGGCTTGTCAAGGTGGCGGAGGCCAGAACTCTTGGGGCTACCCTGATGGGGAGAAGACAAGTCCCAGAGCTTCTCACCTTCCATAGCATCCTCTAGTCCTTCACCTCCTCCAAGCCTCTGAGAGCAATAATGTTATTCACAAAACTACTACTGGTACCTTCCCCAGGGAAGAGCACACCGATTGGTTGTCCAGGGCCAAATGGCCAGCCCTGAAAACATACATACAGGTAGCATTATACGGACCGAACAGATTTTATTTAGGAATATATAGTATATAAATAAACACACATGCAAGCAATAGCAATGAATGATAAAAAGAGGTCATGAATTTGAAGGAGAGCAGGGAAGGGCGTATGGGAGGGCTTGGAGAGAGAAAAGAGAAGGGAGAAATGTAGTAATTAAATTATAATCTTAAAAAAAAATAAAGCAAAAACTGCTATTGGCAAGGCCATGAAGAGCTTATGCCAGCCTGACCAGAGTGAGGATATGGAGGCAGAAAGGGAATAGCTGGAGCCTTAGGAGGTAGCAGAGCTGAGCCGGCGAGTGCATGGACCTGACTCTCACTAGACGCCAGCTGCTGCCCCCCAGCTGCTGTCCTCACCCCCCGCTCCCAGGTCCCTCCTACTTCTCAACTAGCACTGGTATCTCTGTTCTCCTTTCCACAGCCTGTGCGGAATGCTACCAAGTACGGCAACATGACCCAGGACCACGTGATGCACCTCCTCCTGGTGAGTGTCAGAGCCAGTGAGCAGCCCCCTGGTCCACATGGGATCCTAACCCTCACTCACATGCCAGGCTCACTGTAAACTCAACACCTGCTCACCCCAAGAAATATAAGGTGGCCCTTAAATATTTCACGTAGTCCAGCCCCCTTCCCTCACCTTGAGATAAGTATCTACGTAGTCCTGCAACTGGTTATACTATGTAGACCAGGTTGACCTTGCACTTAGGAGATCTGCCTGCCTCTGCCTCCTAAGTGCTGGGACTAAAGGCGTGCATCATGACACCAGGCTCTAGCCTCTTCACTTTTGAGTTTGAAAAATTAAGGTCCAAGTCTTGGATGTGACTTGGTCATGATACCCCATTCTCCTTCCAAAATTAACCTCACAAGCCTGCTCTGTACCAGGCACTACTCTGTTCTTGGCCTACAGCAGGGAAGCAACTTGAATATACCAGTGACCAGGTGATGAGGGACGCACAGCTGGCTGTGAGGACAGGCAGAGGACCCAGTCTAGCTATTGGTGGTCAGAAAGTCTTCAGAGATGAGACCTGCAAGACAGGCAGACATCCGTAGGGAGCAAACGAGTGCTGTAAAGCTGGTGTGGACCCTGACAGGAGCTACATAGCTGGGTGGCCCTCACCCCTTCACCCCTGCTCTCTGTCACTGAAGCCAGGGTCCAGGCTTGCTGTGGCTAACATCCATTCCTCAGAATGAAGACCTGGGAACATGGGGTGTACATTTCCCCTTGCTATCATGGAGTTCTTTAACTTCCTCTCGCCCTGCTACTCTGCAGAGGTCTGGACCCCTGGAGTACCCACAGCTGAAGGGGAGCTTTCCAGAGAACCTGAAACACCTTAAGAACTCTATGGATGGTCTGAACTGGAAGGTGAGAAGCTTCTGTTGACTCTCCTCTTTCCACAGTAGCCTCAGGACTAGACAGTGGCAAGGGGCGGGCTAGGGGAGCTGTTCTACAGCTGGGCTACAGAGGGTCTTCTAACATCCACAAAAAACTTGTGGGTCTTTAAGAGGTACCCGGGCTGCAGCTGGACTCCAGATGCTGGGCCTGTCGGATCCTCCAAGAGTGTTGTCAAGGTAGGGTGTTGACTCCTGACCCTGATGACCTGCCTCTATTCTCAGGTCTTTGAGAGCTGGATGAAACAGTGGCTTTTGTTTGAAATGAGCAAGAACTCTCTGGAGGAGAAGCCTACTGAAGCTCCGCCTAAAGGTAGCAGGATGGGAACTTCAGGGTGCCAGGGCTCCCTGGAGCTGCTGAAGCCTCCAGCAGCTTCAGCGAAGCTAACAGCAGCACCCCATCCTCTCAGCTCACTGTCTCTTCTTGCCTGTTCCTTCAGGGTTTGGAAACGCTGACATCCTGTCTGTGGGTCTGTTCTTTCACACACACATCCAGAGTATAGAGGCCTCTTATCCTTGTCTTGGAGCAAAACCAACTCAACACATACCAGGCAGGAGTCCTCGGAAGGACACCTCCCCAGCACTCACTGCCTCAACACATGAGGCAGAGGGCCACTGAGTCAGCGAATGCCCAGAGCCCTAGGCACTTCTCACTCACCAGCCATGCCAGCACACAGGAGGCTTGAGACCTAACGCATTGGGGAATGCCTTGCTTGTACCTTGGTGCTGTCTCTAATTTGCTGTGCAGAGCCTGACAAGCCTGTCCCACAAACGGAGGGCTAATGGCCCGAACTGCCCTTGGAACTCCGTTTCTCGGATACATACATAGAAGACAGCTTGCATGCGATCTCAACCAACTTCTAGCTGATTTTTGAATCCCCTCTCCAGCATCCCCAACAAATGGCAGCCCCTCTTTCTACTTGGGTTATCCCAGTAACAGGAAGGTCAGGCTCCCAAAGGTGTCCCCATTACTGTCCCTCCAGAAACCAGAATCACAGGAGTAATTACTAACTGTAATAGAATCTGAGTGCTAGAAGAAATATTTTGAGGCAAATGACTCCAGCCACGCTTTTCCTCTTTTTGGACCTTACTGGTTTCAGTCTTGGGCCTCAGTTTTCCCATCGGTACCATGGGAGGAATGAGGAAAGCGACTTGGAGAGGCATTAGGCCCACGGCAGTGGTGTGTGGGTCTCTGCTCTGCTGAGACCCCGGCCCAGAGCCCACTCACTCACTGTCTTCATCATGCCTGTAGCGTCAGTGCTGACCAAGTGCCAGGAAGAGGTCAGCCACGTCCCTGACGTCCATCCGGGTGCGTTCCGTCCCAAGTGCGATGAGAACGGTAACTATTTGCCACTCCAGTGCCACGGGAGCACTGGCTACTGCTGGTGTGTGTTCCCCAACGGCACCGAGGTCCCTCACACCAAGAGCCGCGGGCGCCATAATTGCAGTGGTAAGCAGGGGCCACCATGCCAGTAATCTAAAGGATTAGGGAGCACTAGGAAGGTGAGGGTCCCGAGGGCCCTCCTAGTAAACATGGGGTCAGGACATGGGTTGGCTGTGCCCTGAGGACAGCCGCTGTCAGTCATGCATCTGGCCCTTCATCTACCTGCGCACTCCTGCGTGTCCCTCTAACCTTATCTCCTCTCACATTCTCCACACGCTGTCCCACACCAGAGTCCCCCCCATCTCACCACACCCACTAACCACACTATACACCATGGTGCCTCATTTCCCAGGCTCAAGGACATACCTGACTGGGAAATAAGCCTTTGGGCCCAATGGCAACCAAGTGTGTGTGGCGAGGTTAAGAATAGCATGATGGTTCCTTTGCAGAGCCACTGGACATGGAGGACCTGTCTTCCGGCCTGGGTGTGACCAAGCAGGATCTGGGTAAGGGGGTCACCCACACTCACACTCACGTGGTACAGCATGACACTGGGCTGGCTTTTACAGAATGGGCTGGTTGCTGGAGGCAGAGGACCCAAGCTCAGTAGGGGAGCAATGGGGGCGGGAGCTGACTGCTCCCAAGTTCCAAGAGGCTGGGAAGAGGCAGAGGCAACAGGCCAGGCAACAACACCGACTTCTGCTTCCCTTCCAGTTATGTGAAGGCAGAGGCCAGCTCTGCACAGCAGCAGCTTTCCTGTCCTCCTGTGCCCCAGCCTTTCTGCCTTCCCTGACGTCACATCCCACTTCCTGCCGCCTTGCACCTTGGGGCTTGAGGCTGGTGTCCGCTTCCTCATCCCTGGACACGACCAATACAACCAGAAGAGAATGAGGGTGCTGGAGGGCCCCGCTGCCCACCCCTATCGAAAGGAACAGAAAGCTCAGAGTGGGCAATGCTAGGTGGACCCCCATTTCTGACCCATTAGCAGTCTCCAACAACGTGAGGCGTTGAGATGTAGGCCCACAGACAGGGATAAGGGGTGCTCCACCCTTAACCTACACTGGACACATCTGCTGTCTTCTCCTCAAGGAAGAACCCAGGCCCTCCTTCCAGAAACTCTTCCTCACTTCCTGCCAAAATCCCCAGGTCCCTTGCTCAGCCAAGCTTGTCAGCAGCCTATAGGATCATGGTTCATGTGACAATAAAAGGTAGTAAGTAGAACGTTCTTGCTCCTGGCTCTTCTGTTGGGATCCAATTAGTTTACCCTAAGACGGTCAATGAAAACCTCAACCTGGTCACCTAGGTACCCAGGGCCGGTGGAGCCTGGGGTGATGGCCGCAGACACTCAGTACCTGCTTTACATTCAGAAACAGGCTCTTGCGCAGTTTTAAAAGCATAGCTGCCCCAGCTTCCATTCCTCATGTCCCGGATTCCATTTCTGTACTAACAGCATAAGTGTGATGACAGATGGCAGTGGACACAGGGGCCTAGTGTCAGGAATGGATGGGAATGGGGGCTGCCACCAGATGGGTGTCTGCAGGACCCAGGGCTACTCAGCTCCAGTCCACTGTCACCGGGAAAGGGAGCAGATCCCTTACCACCCAGGAGTCAGAAACGAACGTTAGCGAGATTGGTCCGTTTTGCAGTTTAACTACTGTGCGTCAGCACAGCCAATGAGACCCTTCTCTGCAGACCCTTCTCTGACACCAACATGGAATGACGGGAATGGCCGTCCCCCAGGGCGCTATGCTGAGGTGGCTTCTGGATGTTTCTGCAGAGGCAGCAAAGGCGTGCTGCCACCCTTTTCCCTCAGTCTACCCCAGTGATGCCCCAACACATACGTGGGCTTTGTTCACTTCCAGCCTTCCCCAGCACCGAACTATTCCCTGGAGAGGGGGCGACTCAGGGCCCAGTCTACTGGCTCTTCCCACACCGGCCACCGACGTTTTCCACCACATCATCCTAACTCTCAAACATCCAAAGGCCCCTCGGTCACCTGTGCCACCTACTCTGGTATCTGACCAACCTTCAACTCTCCTCAAGCTCGGAGGCCATCTCCTCCGGGGAGCCCTCCCTACATGGGCCCCTGGGGAGCTTCACCAAGGCTCTGTCTTTAGCAAACTGTCCTACCCACAGTACGGTAGGACACTGGTGTGCAGGCAGGCAGGAGCCCCGAGTGCTGGCCTGTGCTCTTCCACGGTCGCCACACTGTCTTCCCTAAGCAGTCAGTAGCAGGATGAGTCCAGATGCACAGGGAACCTTTACATTTCAAGTCTTTTATTTTGAGTTCTTAAAAAAAAAAAAAAACCAAACCCAAAAGAGCTGGAAAACTGATAGGACAAGGCCTTGGGGTAAGCCAGGGATCCAGGCAATGGGATGAACTGCAAGCAGAACCTGGCTGGGTCTGCAGAGCAGAGGGAGGTCGGTCCTGAGGCCTTTGGGCATGTTGGATTTCAAGGGGGAGAGGCAGGTCACTTAAAAAAATATATATACTGTACACATCTTATGCAGCACTCAGAGGGGGTGGGTGTGTCTCATCTCACTTCCTCCTGGGACTGCCGTCTCCTCGCAGGCTCACTGGCTTGGCCAGCAGCACGAGCTGGAGACGGCCATCATCTTCTGTTGAGGGAGGGTAAGTTAAAAAGTCCAGTCCCAACTCACACTGGCCAGGTCAGAGGTCTGAGGACGGCCACACTCTGACAAGACGCTAGGAGAAGAAAACAAACCAGGTCAGATTTCCTGAACTTTATATCCACGGAGGAAAACAGAAAGCCAAGGGAGGGCACCAGATCTGCTCGGGCTCCACACCTGCTAACAAGGCCCCTCAGTCCCTCTGACCCTGGGGGAGAGAGTCGCTGCCTCTCGAGCTCCCTCCCTTTGGGCCTACCCAGCTGCCCAGGAAAGCTACAAAGAGTCAGGTACCTGGTTTTTGTGCTGGGCCTCACACGGCAGGCTGGGCTGTCTTCTTCTGTGAGGAGAGAAGGGCAACAAGGTCTCAGTCTGCGGGCCCTCACCACTGCCGTCCCACCTGCACGGGGCAGGACTCCCTGGAGGCAGGGGTGGTACCTCACCGGCTGTCTCAGCAGCCACACCCCTGCAGCTTCCACTGCTAGGCTATCCTGTGCTACCAGCCCTGGGCCAAGCAGCCTTTGACCTCATGAAATGGATGGTTGTTCCTTCAGTGGGCATCCCCACTGGCCAGGACATGTAGGCCAGGCTCTTCCTCCTACCCTTTCTCACCTGGAAGCTGGTTGTAGCTTACCCAGTTGTCTGCCCATGGGGGTCTCTCTTATCCCCCCTCCCCTGCTCTTCCTCACAAGGTCCATTAGATTGGAAGGGTGACATAGAACAGGTCTAGGTGTTGGAAGGGGAAGGGGAAGGGGAAGGGGAAGGGAAAGGAAAAGGGCAATGGGAGTGGGAGGGGAAGAGGAAGGGTTTGAATTTCTGGCCCAAGAGCTCCCAGGAACTCAATCTACCTTTTTCTTCTTTTTCTTCTTGACTAGCGAGTCAGGGTCTTTGACTGAGGTCTTTTTTCCTTTCTTCTTTTCCTTTTTTTCCTTGTCTTTTTTTTCTGAGGGAAGAAAGCGAGCTTCCTGAGCAACAGATACTGACACTGAGTGAGTCAGGGTCAGGAGGCTCATGACAGCTCCCCGCTCCTACACCATGGGGAAACAGGCCCCAGTGGGGCCAGGACACCCTTCAGGTGCCAGGGCTCCCTTCTTCCTGTCTGTGGACCACACAATCTAGGGCCTCAAGACCAGCTATGCGAGTTCTTTACCAGTCTTGAATGAACTCACTTTAAGAACATCTCCCCCCATATTTATTTTTATAAAGATAGCCAGGTGGTGGTGGTGGCGGCGGCGGCGGCGGCGGCACACGCCTTTAATCCCAGCACTCGGGAGGCAGAGCCAGGTGGATCTTTGTGAGTTCAAGGCCAGCCTGGTCTACAGAGCGAGATCCAGGACAGGCACCAAAAGTACACAGGGAAACCCTGTCTCGAAAAACAAAAAAACAAAAACAAACACAGGACCCCCATAGGTTCTGGACATCGAGGGGCAGCAGGTCCTTATGTAGGAGGATCAGATGACCAGATACCTCTTCTCCCCCACTCCTGCCACAGATGGGCAGGCAGAACTCAGGGGGATTTCCTTGCTGGGCGTGGTGGTGCACCCTTTTAATCTTAGTGTCCGGGAGGCAGAGGCAGGTGGATTTCTGTGAGTTCGGAGGCCAGCCTGGTCTACATAATACGTTTCAAGGTGGCTAGGCTACATAGTGAAACCCTGTTTCAAAACAAAGCAAGAGGGGACTGCCCAGCAAAAGTGTCCTTTTCTTCTCAGAGTCTGTTTTCCACTTAGAAAAGGAAAGCAAGACTCCCCACCGCCCAGGGTCGGCAGGACAACTCAAAAGGCCCACTGGGTGAGGGTTCCAGTCTAGAGGGCAATTAAGCAGCTGCTTTCCCTGAGGAACTGAATTCCAGAGGAAAGGGGCTCTGGAGGAGGATGCAGGCACACTCCGCACCCCAGGGACCGGCAGTGGACCTCTGGTGTCCCTTAGGTTGGAGTGGAGTGCTCCTGTTCTCCATCGTGTGAAGCTGGAGTTGGGGCTAACGTGGGTGGAACTGCTGGGCACTGTAAGGACCCTGGGCTGTGGGGAGGACGGGATGAAGTACTGGCCCATGAGCTCACAATCTACTTTTGGCTTTGCCCCCAGGCCCCCGTCACTCTGGACAAACCACTTCCCAGCTTCCACTGTCCCGCACCGCAGCACACGCCCGGGAAAGGAGTCACTTACTCTTACTGGATTTCTTCTTTTCCTTCTTGCTCTTTGCGTCACCCTGCTCTCCACTCTCAACCTTTAACCCCAGCTCACTTTCCGGCTTCTCCTTGGCCCCTCGGGAGCCAGGTGACTCCTTCCCCTTGCCATCGGCATCCGCTCTGTCTGGCTTTGCCTTTGCCTTGGAAGTCCTGGAGGTCTTTTCTGGGGTAGTAGCACCTGCCCCAGCCACCAGCTGCTTCTTCTTCTTGCTCTTTGGGGTCCCAGCTGCCAGCTGGTCCCCCAAGAGCTTCCGCTTCTGGCCCTTCTTCCCACTCTCCTGGATGGCCTCCGTGGCCTTCTGCCTCTCCTGCTCCAGCAGTTCCGTTAAGACCTTTATCACAGAGGCCTGCACCTGCGCCTCGCTCAGGGGCCACGGCTGCTCCCGGAGGCGCTGGGTGATGCTGTTCTGCAGATCCTGTGTGGGTGCTGCTGAGGTCTGGGTGCTTTTCTTGGCCTTCTTGGGCTTCTGAGGTGTGGCACCTGGGGAGGCCTCTTTCCTACCTGTGAATCACAGGTCTCGGAGGTCACAGGTCTGGAAAGCTGAGGGACAGATCTTACACAATACATGAGGACTGAGGGAGTGCATCTCCTTACAACTGTATGGATGGGAAACTGAGGCCCCGGGGTCACTCTGCCCCATCTGTCTCCTATGCTCATGCCTTAAACAGGAATCTCACCTCTAACTTCCAGCTCTGTTTTATGTCCTCACATCAGAAACTCTACCCAATTACAGTTGGGGATGGACAGTGATCTCAGAATGTTAATGAGAGGGCCTGAAGTCTGCCAGCGAGACAGAGGGGACACCAGGTGGGACACAAGTGACTCAGGTTCTAGGTCTGCCTTTATCAACACACCGTAAGGCTTTGGCCAGGTCACAGTCCCTCAAGGCCTGTTTCCCACTGTACAACAAGAAGCTATAGTGTCTTCTGCCATGAGCTGTAGATTCATAACACAAGGGAAGGTCCTGAGGACTGAAACTCAGCTCCTGTCTGTGGACAGACAATGGGTCCTTGGCCCATGAAGGCTGGGGCAAGAGGCAGATTGGGGCGGGGGGAACTCTGGGTGTGCTTGCTGTGTATGCATGTGGCGGCTGACTAAGCAGGTTTACTGCCTGCCAGAGTGACTTCTGGTGCAGCCTTTGTTTAGAATTTTCCACGCCTCTGCTTGCCTTTGATAATTGTGTGCTGACTACACGTGTAAAAAAAACCTTCCACAGCCCCCTCGAAAATGTCTCCCTGTCACACCCGCCTCTCACACCGACAAGAACACTGGAGAAGAAAGTGAGCAACAACCCCGCCTCTGACCCAGCGCAGGAAAGCTGGGGCTACAAGCCCAGAGCTATCGCTCCCATCTCTATCCACTTCGCACCTCCCAGGTCGCCCGGGCAAGTCTCTACCGCTCTGTGCAGCAGCAGCAGCCGCAGCCGCAGCCGCAGCCGCAGCACAGACTTCCTACATTTTGAGCTCAGGGGTTGGACCCTAGCAGTGTTTGCCTCAAGGAAAAGCTGACTGGAATGGAGTGGGGAGGTGGGATGTACTGTTCTGTGTTATGTAAGGCACTCCTGACAGTCCCCTCCCCTGGGTCCCACCAAATGTCATGTGACAATTTTCTGTGTGTTATACTTTTGACAGTACGTGGTGGCATTGCTCTTGCCTTGCATGGTTAAGACACAGGGGCCCAGGAGCTTTGGCTACGGAGTGAGTCAGAGCACCCCAGGGACCAGTCCATCACCTAGGGTCTCCTCTATATACTGAGTCCTCCATAGAGGGCTGCCGGCCAAGTCTGAGTCATTCCGAGTCCCTCTACCCAATACCCTGGCCCACTAACTAAGGAAATAAGAAAGTCAGTAGGGACAGCTGGGGAGCCAAGGCCTCCTCCACAAGCCCATAGAAGTTGCTACAGCTTCGCCAGCTCCAGAGGGGCGGATACACCCGCTCCCAGGGTGCCCAGAGCTGGAAACCCGGGCCTGGCCCCCAGCTGTGTTCCCACAGAGGACCCCGTAGGCTTGCATTGGAGACTCTGATGGAACCCAGGCCAACAGTGGTGAGATGACGGCTTCCGACGGCAAGCAGGGACCAGCAGCCTGGCCCTCCACATCCCGACATCCCCTACTCACCAGTTTTAGGGAGCGTGGTGTCTGCTGCGTTCTGGGATTTTGCTTTCTGCTTGCCATCTGGGTTATCTTTGGTGGCCGGAGCAGAGGAAACCAAGGGGTTGGAGTCTTGCCTGGGAGTGGCTTTTGAAGCCTGGGAACCGGCCACCGTCACCCCAGGAGTCACATAACCTGAGAGGAGAGACTGAAGAGGCCCAGTGTGAAAGACGCAGTGCGCCCCTCCCCTTACCCCAGAGTCAAGGCCTGCTGAGGAGATCAGCGCAGTGCCCCAAGACCAGGCTAATCTAGTCAGGCAGCAAAGTGGCACTGAGCCCACAGAGCCCACAGGCCCTCGGTGTGTGCTTCTAAACTATGTGAATCGATGTATATTTATGGCCCATTAAAAGGAGGATTTCTTACTGCCAATGGACCACTACCATGACAGAACAGCACTAGCATTTGGGGCTGCTAAGATGGCCGTACAAGCCCAAAAGCCTGGGTTCAATCCAGTAACCCACATAAGAGGGGAAGGAGACAACAACAGACTCCACAAAGTCGTTTTCTGATCCCCACACACTCCCCACAAATGAGGAAATCTTCAGTGTCTGTCCTGTACAGAAGGGCCTTTTTTTCCCTTTCCTTTCCTTTCCTTTTTTAAATGGCACTGGTGTTTTGCCTGCATGTATGTCTGTGATGTTGTCAGATCCCCTGGAACTGGAGTTACAGACAGTTGTGAGCTGCCATGTGAATTGAACCCAGGTCCTCTGCAAGAACAGCCAATGCTCTTAACCATCGAGCCACCTCTCCAGCCCGAGGAGAGCCTTAAGAGAGACCTAAGGAGTGGCTTTATCTGGGCATGTCTTGGAATCCATCTGAATCCCTTCCCTCGACCCCAGGGCAGCAGGTGAGGCTCTATTCTGTTGATTAAGGGCATCCCACAGGCAGGACCTTACCAGGGCCCTGGGAATGGGATCTAGACACTTGATCCAAGGAGTGGCTGGAGTCTAAAGCTGCAGCTCCAAGCTCTAGCCCTTACCCTGGCAGTTACCTGTGAGGGGGCCACCAACTCATCTTCGCTGGATTCATCAGGGGTCTCCTCCACCACAATCTCCTTCTGGGAAGGGTCCGGATCTAGTGCAGAAGCAAAGGTTTCGTGTTGGGTGTGGGTCCCTGGTGGCCCTGTTAATCAGGCTAGGCAGAGCTCCTCAGGAAGGCTGCAAAGCCTGGGTCTCTGTTCCTCCTGCACAAGGCCTCCCATTTTTCACCCACTGATGTTATCCAAAGCACCCTGCCTGACACATCTGAATGCCAGGTTTCCTTTCTGGTTCCTGAGGCTCCCATTTCTCTGCTTTCCCCTGTAAGGGAAGCCAAGTCCCGAGACTTGGGGCATTCAATAATGGGAGCCTGATACCAAGAAGCTGCCAGAAGTCAAACAGGACTCAGGTCTTTTAAGTTGTGGAGTTATTCCACTAGTGGATAAACAGGCCCAGGGTGGGGTGAGAAGGCCAGAGCCCACAGCTCTCCCGGGCTGTGTCTCATCCCCTGCCCTCCCTCCTGGAATCCTCACCCAGTCTGGGGGCTGCCTTGGCCATCTGGGGTCTCTTGGCATCCGCCTCGCTCTCTGAAGAGGTATCACTGCTGTTACTTGAGCTCCTGGAGGGTCTGGGGTAGCTTGGGGGAGGCTGCTGCTTCTCAGCGAGTTTGGGTTTTCTGAGCTTATTGGTTGCTCTGGACTGGACAGGTGTACTCTGGGGGGGCATCACGGAGGGCGTCTCCACGGCACTGCTGATCTAATTCGGAACAGGAAGAGTACAAGAGAAGGTACAGAGAGGGACGTAATAGGGCCAGGCCCCATGTGGGAAGCACCGCATGAGCCTTCCCATGATCTGCCCCACAGCTCTCGGGTGGGCACTGCAGCTTCTTATTATGTACAGGACACTGAGGCCCAGGCAGGTAGAGTAAGGGCTGGTGTAGGACACACAACCATGCTGGGCTCTCACTGAGGCACGGCAGAGAGAACCTGGCCACATGTGTGGGAGGAGAGTGGGGTTAAAGTGGTCTACACAGCTCCCCAAACACAAAGCACTTGAAGGCTGGGTCCTAGCCGGGTCTCACTGGCACTCACGTGGCATGCACATGCACAAGTACGTACATGCACGCACGCATGCACTTCAAGCACACCCATGCTCACACTGACTCTCCAAGTAAAATTCAGGTGGTGTTCGCAGGAAGCCATCCACCTTCTCCACGTCTCTCCATGTGACCTGGGGCACACCAATTAGACCAGGCTGGCTGGCTAGTGTGCCCCCAGGGATTGACACGTCTCAGGCACCCCAGCATTGGCATTACAAACCCCTGCCACCATGCCTGGCTTTTTCCTGTGGGTACTGGAGAATGAACTCAGCGCCTCATGCTTGCATGGCAACACTTTATCCACAGAACCGTCTCCCCAGCCTGCTTACCAGCTTTTTGTTTGTTTTTCGAGACACCACAGTCTCTCTGCGTAACCACTCTGGCTGTCCTAGAACTCACTTCACAGACCAGGCTGGCCTCAAACTCATAGCGATCCGCCCGCCTCTGCCTTCCGAGTGCTGGGATTAAAGGCGTGTGCCTGGCTGACAACTAATTTATCTTGCTTTCCCTGTTTAATGGCTGTCTCTGTGCTGACTCGGGAGCCCCAGGAGAGCCTTGTACCTGCTGTGGCCTCAGTGCCCAGCAGGGCAGATGTCCAGTACCATCTGCTGAGATGACCACTGCCTATTAGTTCTCACAGCCACACGCTTCAGAAGCCCTTCTGGCACTACAGCGTGTAACGCACCAGTAATGGGGTGGCACAGTAGCCCCTCAAGCAGGGGATACCCAATGCTTTAGCACAGCTCTCTCTCTCCTGCCCTCAGGAGGTTGGGTGTGCAGTGGACTCCTCTCTCTCCACATGAGAGTTAACAAACCCCACTGGGCCCACAGAGCAATGAACTTGGGAGTTGGAAGACCCAGGTTCTGGCCTGGACTGACCCTGGTGGGGTGTGCCCTTAGTTTTAGTTGAACAGTGTCCACTAACCTTGTCCTACTAGTTAACGATGCACTGAGACTGGGGATGGCTAGGAAAAAATGCTCTAAGATCATGTCCATTCTGAATACTAAGAAAGGCGAGGTGAGCAACTCCTATCTACAGCGTTTCAAAACTAGTCGACAGAAAACGAATTCAGAGTCCACCAAGCTGGGAAGAGGAGGGATTCCACTTGCCTTTGGACACCTAGCCTGCTCTTCCTGACAACATCATGGGGATTTGGGAGCCAAGGCTTGAATGACACTGCCAGGGTGCTGGGAGCAAGCCACCGACTGCCATGCAACCTAATAGCACACACCGAGGCGGCAGTGACCCTCCCACAGCCCTCTCTTACCCGACAGTACCTGAGAGGATGCTGCCTTGGGTTTCTTGCCTTTCGGCACCCGACTAGACTGCTCACTCTTGCTGGGTTGGGGGGCTGTCCGTGGGAGGGATGTGGGCACAGTCACACTGGTTTTAATGGCTGAAATGGAGAAGAGGGGGCAGGCACATCAGGGTACGGAAGCCGCATGACTCTCCAGCAAGGCATTCCCCAATTCCCAGTCATTCCCATGGACCCGGTGCTGGAATTAGGGATCGTAAAGTGGAAGCTAGCTTCCTCTCCTCCCCAAGCCTTCCAGGCAGCTCTCATCACGTCATTTGACAAGGCTCAGCGCCTTCAAATGGCTACAGGGGCACACTCCAAGCCTCAGCCTCATCTTTTTCCTTTTGAGCAACAAGTTAGATCATGGTGCCAGAGACTCCTCGCAGTTAGGAATCAGCGGGGGAGCTGCTGGGTGCTGAGGAAGACATGCCCATCACAGCCCAACAAGGTCGTATGTCCCCATTATGTACTAGCCAAATACACAGCACCATTCTGCTGCCAGTAGGAATCGTACTGTCTGTACTCAATGACAGAAATGTCACAGCGTCCTAATATGCAACTGAAGATGGCTGAGCTTCCAGAGGGCCTTGCCACACACAAATACACTAGTCTATCTTAGGTCTGGGGACGAGACCAAGTATAAAATGTTACCCATCTTCTTTTTCTGTGCTACAGGGGATGGGAGCTCACTGCCGGGCTGATAGCCCACTCCACAGCTAGCTGGCTATAGCAGAGCTCTGTCTTAGACTAGCCTGCTGGTCCCTTTCAGCCACCAAAATGCTCAGGCTTTCTTTCAGGCTTGGAGACGACACACAGACGCCTTGAATAGAATTCCTTCAAAACAAGGCAAATGAGCTACCCTCAAGGTAACAATGCAGGGTCCAAGGCTGAGCCCCCAGTCCTCCTGGCCAATGCCTCTGCTAGGCCACTTGGTTACTGTCTGGTTCCTTCTGGTCTCAATGGGGAAGGCATGCAGGGCAGCAGCCCCCTCTAGCTGAGCAGCACATGCAGCAGCACTCACCATGAGTGGTGGGTTGGGTGGCAGGAATCATGTCTTCATCCTCACTCTCAGAGGAGGAGCTCTGGGCTGTGGTGCCTGAGGCCTGGGCCTTCCTTGGGGTGTTCACAGCCTGGACTTGTGCAGGGGTAGCAGCTGGGCCAGCTGGACTACGATTAGGGTCGACAGAAATCAGAGGGGATTTAATCACCTTGAAAAACAAAAACAAAACACACACACCCAGTGATTAAAGGCTTGGCCGGGGAAGGGAATGGGAAATGGGTGAGGGAGGGTTGTTTTTGTTTGTTTCTTTCTTTTTTGAGACAGGGTTTCTCTGTGTAGTTTTGGTGCCTGTCCTGGATCTCACTCTGTAGACCAGGCTGTACACAGAGATCTGCCTGGCTCTGCCTCCGAGTGCTGGGATTAAAGGCGTGCGGCAAGGGAGGGTTTTATAAGTAAGGCAAGAAGTTCAAGGAGCTTGGGCATTTGCAGCCCACTCCCACCCCATACCAACTAACACCCAGCATAGCACTTCACAGCTCTCATAGGAGCCCAGCTGACCTTCACAGTGACCCCCAAGGTAAGCAGTATGCATGCCACTGGACACATGGGAAAGCCTTAAGTCCAGAGAAGAAAAGAGGAGGGCCTGGGCCACACAGCCAGATCGGAAGCAAGGCGCGAGCTAGAATGTCTAATTTAACATCTTTCTTCTGATGATCTCAGATGTCCAGCCACCTGCTAAGTGGGAAGTTCTAAAAAGCATTTCCTAAAGGAGCCTGGCTATAAGATATGATTTCCCTGAAGTCTCATTGTCCCCTTCCCCAGAGACCCTGATACAGGTGTGTGGCCCAGCATGCAGCCCCCAGCTATACTGATCCAGTTTCTTTAGTACACAAACATCCCTGGGTAACAGGGTCGATGGGTAGTGGAAAAACCAACAGAGTAAGAAAGGGTTCAAGAACATAATGTAGTGTGTGTGGCCTTATCTGAGACAGGTTTTGCTCTGCAGACCAGTCACTGCACCACCACACACTAACCTTATTTGGATCCTAAAATAGGACAAGCATAAAAAAAGTCATTCATCAGCTACTTTGGAGAAAACAGGCACCCTGCCTGCTGGTCAACTTTCTAGCTGTCACACTGTCTTGTGGTTGTGCTGAAAAGGAAAAGGAAACCCTTCTCCTTTTGAGCTGCACACTGAAATCCTGATGGATGAGATGACGGCCCGAGACCAGCGGGCATTGGAAAGCAAGCAGAGTGTGCATACAGCCAACCCGCTCAGGACTGGGGCTGCTGAGGGTTAGGAGAGTGTGGAGGGTCATCATTTTACTTCACTTTGTTTTTTTAAATCCTGAGACAGGGTCTCGCTGTGAGGCCCACCAGGTTGGCCTCTCGACCCTCCTGCCTCGTCTCCTAAACGCTGGGATTACAGACATGTTCTTGCAGCCCTGATTCATCATTTCACCTCTGGGTCTGCTTTGCAGTTCACCGAGGTGGTAAAGCAGCAGCAGATCCTAGTACTGGGAAGGCCACTTTGGCAGTGAACTACAGACTCCCAAATGTGTCACCACACACCGGGGGACTCTCGGTCTATTTCCTTCCAAAGCCCCAGCTGATGAAGGCACAGGGTGAGGAGCCAGGGAACTGAATTCTACTTTCTACTCTCCAGATGTCAGGGCTGGGTCAAGGCTGTTTGTGTTTGGCCAGTGGAGGGCGGCCTGAGGCCCACAGAGGGACAGTCAGGTCCACTACCACACTCTGCCCACCTGCTGCGCTTCATCGGGCTCCCCCTACTCCAGGGGCCGTGAGACAGCGACCAGCTTAGCGCTGTGGTACCCACCAAGAGCCGCAACGCTGCTGCACTCAGGCCCTTCCTACCCTGCCAAACAGCCTCCCCCGCGGCCGCTCTGATCTGCCACTTCCAGAGCCTTCCTTCCCACGTGATGAAAAGGAGAAGCATGGAAAGTGGGAGAAGGCTTGTGGTGGAGGGAGGGGGATCTATATATATGTGAGAAGACAGGAGAACAGATTGTTGGGGACCAAGAGAGGCAGCAAACCCACTGAGGCGAACAATAGCGTCTTGGGAAGTTAAAAGCAGCTCCACGGTGGCGGAGGCACAGCCTCCTCCAGCTCCACCTGCCCACACCGCCTCATCCCAGTGCAGGGAGGGCAGGAGAGGGAGGTGGGCGTGGCCTGGCTGCAGAGGGCAGGCTAAGCACAGGGGGCGGTGTTTCGGTCTGCGGCAGCTGTCCCCCACTCTGTCATCCAGGTGCCCATCTGTGGAAGGGCTGCGACCAGCCCCCACCTGGGTGTGCCCACCTCGAGGAACGCACAAGCCCAGCAGATGTGGACTGTGCTTTGATCAAGGAACTGGACAGAGGAAAAACAGTGAAAGAGGACTTCACCTTCACCAGGGCATCTCACTGCTGCCCGTGGGTGCTGGGAGCAGAGTAGGGCAGGGGGATGCCCTTCCCATTTGCAGGAATGATGCTCACAGAAGCAAACAAGGGGTGCTTTGGGCAGCGCCCACTGCCTGCTGTCTCAGCTGGGCTTGTACCTACTGTGCCCTTATTCCAGTAAATCTGGGGCAAAGTGGGGGTGGGGTGGGGCTGGAGGGGCAGTTCAGCAGCAGGGTGTGTCCTCAGCACTTATGAGGTCCTGGGTCCCACCCTAGAACCACCAAAGAAAGAAAAATAGAAAACAAAACAAAACAAAAAACCCTATGGAGGGACTTGGAAATGACACTTCTGGGGCTGCAGCTAGGAGACTTGAGGTTTGTAAGCCCCAACCTCACCCCAGGAGCTGAGGTTGATGATCAGAGATGGCAAGCACCTCAGCCAGGAAGACCAGCAAACTGGCTTCAGATCCAGGATTGGAAGACAGCTGTCCAGGGACCAGGCAGGAGTTCCTTCTAGACCTAATCACGCAAGCCTAATTAAATAACACAATTCAGATTTTTACAAGTTCCCTGTTCTGACTCAGGACAGGGCCTATGCCTTTGTTTTGGCAAAATGACAGATGAAGTAGCCTTTAAAATAATTTCAGAGAGCTGGAGAGATGGCTCAGAGGTTAGAGGACTTCAGTTTGATTCCTAGCCCTCAAATGGCAATTCACAACCGGCTATAAATCCAGTTCCAGGGGATCTGACGCCCTCTTCTGGTCTCCACAGGCACCAGGCACAAATGTGGCAATCACTCCTACATTTAGAACTAATTTAAGTGGGCGGTAAAAACTATGGTGTATGATGTGCTGTGATACAAGGCTACAACACAGAATGGATCATCCATGCTACTTAATGTCGGCATCACCTCACATGTTCACGTTCTAATTTGGTACCCACCCCAGGTTCCAGCCAGTCTCGGGGTTTACACACCACACAACAGGGGTGAACTGCAGGAAGGGACCTGGGGTCAACACTGATCTGGAGCTGGGCAACTGCCCTGGTACCCGGCCTTTTTCCCCATTGACAGGCTAATTAAAACCAAACACACACATACACACACACACACACACACACACACACACACACACACACACACACACCCCAGTTTGGGAGGGTGAGGCAGGAGCAGTTCTAGTTATCAATAGAGAAGTGTTCCATAAATGCCCAATAATGACAGCAATCACATGTAAGCTAGGACTCTCCCAGAGGGGCAAAATGATGGCTTCCCAGGCTGTGCCTACTTCCCTGAATCCTTCTGGGAACCCGGAAACTCCAGGCTTTGTTTTTTCAAAACAGAGACTGCAGATCTTCAAGATTAATGCACTGATTTAACAGTTCAGTTTCAGCATAATGCCATTTTCATTGTGCTAGTCCACTCACACAGAGAAAATCAAGGCAGCCTTCCCTCCGAGCTGGGTGGTGTCCCTTAGGAGTGAGGGAGGTGCCGCAGAAAGACTGCACAGCAGCACACTGAAATCCTGAGGGATGAGATGACGGGCCTGAGACCAGCAGGTGCTGGGACACAAGTGCAGTGTGACAAAGCCAACCCGCTCAGGACTGGGACCGCTGAGGGTTGGGAGAGTGTGAAAGCGGACTATAGGGACAGCCGGGCAGGGGGAAGCGCAGACCACCAGGATTTAAACACCATTCCCAGAGCTCTTTCTGAGCTACAGTCCCTCTCCTTCAAACAGCATGTAGCGCGTACCATCTTGCTGGCTATACTGGGCCTCTGAAGCCAGAGAAGGTGTCCTGGGCCTCACACGGGGACAAGGCCAGGCAGGAACAGGCAACAGCAGAAAATGAGGTGCAATAGGTTGCCCAGGCTTGTTCTGGGGTGAGGCCCACAGACTACAACCAGGCTTGCAGGCAAGGCTCTAGGTCCCCAACAGTACACGGACCAAAGGGGCTTGGGGAGCAGGGCTGGCTTCTTTTAGCCTCTTTATGAGAAGATAAGGGATCCTAATCCCTGGCCTGCCAAACAGGCAGCCGGGATGACTGCCTTCCTAACAGTGATCAGGCATCCCTACTCAGGCAGGGGACTCAGTCAAGGACCCGGACCACCTGTATCGTACACAGTGAGCATACCAGCTCCATTTTCACAAAATACCCGAATCATAAGAGGATCCAGGCCCAGCAGGTGGGGCTGGGGGTGTGAAGCCACCTGGGGGTGTGAAGCCCACGTCCTACCATGCCCTGTGGACTATCCCCATCAGAGGGGTGTATCGGAAGACAGACAAGAGCCCAGAGGCTGGGAAGTGCTGCCTGCATGTGGTGAGGCTTGCCCTGTGGGAAAGATGGACCCTCTTCCCAGAGAGTGACGGCCTGGCTTGGCCAGTGGAGCCTTTAGAGGAGTCACAACCTACCTGGGCAGACGGCAGCTCCTCATCACTGCTCTCTGAGGACTCTTCTACGTTCTTCTCTGGGGGTGCGGGCGCTGAGGCTTTGCTTTTGGCAGGTTGGGAGGGACCATCCTTTGGAGGGGATAAGACTTGAATAAGCATGTGACAGGGAAGGGTGGCCAGCTGAGGAAGAAACATGGCACCTCTTGTGCTGAGTCTCCAAGGACAGTGTGGCCTTTTTTTTGTTTGGTTTTTTGAGACAGGGTTTCTATGTAGTCCTGGCTGTCTTAGAACTTGCTCCATAAACCAGGCTGGCCTCGAACACACAGAGATCTGCCTGCCTCTGCCTCCAGAGTGTCGGGATTAAAGGCAGGTGCCACCACTGCCCAGCGGACAGTGTGACCTCCTGCATGAGCCATTTAAGAGTAGGCTTTGGCTGGGCGGTGGTGGCGCACGCCTTTAATCCCAGCACTCAGGAGCCAGAGGCAGGCGGAACTCTAAGTTTGAGGTCAGTCTGGGCTATAGAGTGAGTTCCAGGAAAGGCTCTAAAGCTACACAGAGAAACCCTGTCTCAAAAAAACAAAAAACAACAACAACAACAAAAAACAACCAAAAAAAAAAAAAACAACAAAAAAAAAAACCAAACAAACAAAAAGAACAGGCTTCATGGACCATGTGGTCCCAAGTCATGGAACTGTCAATCAGTGAGGAAGAGCTGGTGGTGATGCCAACTCAGGGGAGGCCCAGGAGGGGCTCTATTCTCCCAGCACGGATGGGACTGTACTCACTCAGCAAATAACACCTAGGCCGCCAGTTTCTCAAGAGAAGCTAGAATATCTCAACTTGTACGTGACACTTCCTACTTTCTATAAGGTCATGACTGGCGGAAACTGACAGGGACCATTTCTTCTGATGATCTCTGCTGCCACCGTCCTAAGGTGCCACATCAGATGCCATCGCCTATCAGGTCTACCAGGCTGCATCAACAATGCCCGAGCTCAAACTAGACCCATCACCTGAACAGAGCCAGCCTCACCGCCCTCTGTAACCAGGACGAGACTGGACAACGGTCTGGGTAAGTAAGAGGCGGCTTCTCTTTCTTCCCCATTCCCTGGGCCCAGGCTTCACTGAGCCAGACAGGCCCTCCTTGGACAGAGATTGGCCTCGTAGCTCTCCGATAGGGGTATCTTTGCAGGCCGGCCTCACACACCTTGGCAGGACCTTCCTCAGCTTGCATGGACTGCTGTGGCCAGTGCTGTGGAGGCCCTGCATGTTACAGGAGTAACCTAGGATGTCCTACACTAGAGTGGCCTTGGTTTGAGACTTCCAGCACATTTCATCCAGGAACATGGGGGACACCTGGGGTAAGGGATCCTGGAGTTAGAACTTCTACCCGCTCTTCCCAACCACCAGGCCACGGTCAGTTTGTGACTAAGGAGTTGGTGACAGTGACTCTCAGGCCTGGCAGACCTCACCTGGGCTGGGATGACGGCTGACGGCATCTCCCCGTCACTGTTGGACTCCTCACTACTGCTCTCCGAGTCCTCCATCTTCCTTTTCTGGGCCTGGGTAGCTGCAGGTCCTGTCTTCTTGGTGGCTCCCGGATGGGCTCCTTTTCTAGGGGATGCCTTGGCAGGGGCTGAGGCAGCTCTGACCTGAGAGCTTTTCCCCACAGGTTTTATCTGGAGAAGCAGTTAGGGGAAAGAGCTGGAGAAGCCAGGGAGACGCTGAGGCATACAAAGCTGTGCCTACACGCCCGGGCCGAAACACCACCGTAACCCCCGCTCTGCCTGGGTACCTGGGCCGGGGCCGCCTCCTCGCTGTCAGACTCTTCACTGCTGCTCTCCGAGTCCTTCCCCGCTCCAGCCACCGGCCCCTTCTGTGCTTGGGTCTTCTGTGCTTGGGTCGCTGGAGACCCCGCTTTTCTCGCGGCTGCAACAGACCACTGGCCCCTTGCAGAGACAGCACTGTGCTGACCAGCACTCACGGGTGCTTTTCCCTGAATCGAGAGGTGAGAATGGTATTGGAGGAGGAAGGGGACAGGTAGGTCCTTCCTGGTCACGCTTCTATAGTGTGTGGCTATGGGTACCCTACTTGTGCAGAGTGTGATCGATGCTAGGTCACAGCCGGACCCCCTTTTAGACTTAGCCCAACTTGTTTCGTGGCTTGTGGGCCCAACTTGCCTTGGATAGGGTCTCCTGCTTTGCTGGAGCAACTACAGTGCTCACTTTTCCTGATGCAGACGCTGGCCCTTTGGCTGGAGACGCCTTAGTGGGAGGGGGGTTGGCTTTGGCCTGAGGAAGTTTCCCCAAGGGCTTGGCCTGGAAGGAAGGAATGGAATTAGTAAGGTTGAAGAGGACCTGCCATAGAGCAATAACAAAGAACACTGTGCAGATGCTCTTCCCAACTAACAGCAATGTGAACTTAAGAAGTCACTCAAGCCAGGCATGGTGGTGCACGCCTTTATTCCCAGCACTCAGGAGGCGGACGCAGGCAGATCTCTGTGAGTGTAAGGCCAGCCTGGTCTACAGAGTGAATTCTAGGACAGCCAGGGCTACATAGTGAGACATGTCTACAAAAACAAGACAAAACAAAACCACAAACAAAAGAGAAATCACATAAGTTTACTCGGCCTCACTTTCACCTCTATAAAAGGAGTATATAATAAAACACACCCGTGAGATTTTTGCAAAAATTAAATAGGAGATTGCATGTTTAACACAGTGCGCGTCACTAACAAACACTCAAATCCCACACTGTAAAGCCAGTACGTACAATCCTACCCAGACAAAACTGTTTCTTAGGTTCCCTTTCAGCTAAGGCGCCACGTCATTAAATTCTACTTAATGGCAGTTGAGTACTGTATAAAGAAGACTGTGTCTTCTCCCTGGAATACAGATGGAGCTGGAGCTCAAGCATCCGCCTCAGGCCATGAAGTAGGAACCGAGGAGGAGGCAACAGAACAAGACATTGCTTCGGGTTTTTTCTTTCTCTCTTTCTCTCTTTTTAAAAAAAAAATTATTATGTTTTTAATTTTGTTTTCAAACTTATATATACTCCGGGAGGAGCTCAAGCCTAGGGGTTTTTCTGTTTAACCTCATCCTTTTTCCTCTGAAAGGTTTTTTTAGATGCAGATGAGTGTTTGCCTATGCATCTGTCTATGTATCACCTTCATGCCTGATGCCCATGGACGTCAGAAGAGGGGTCAGATTCCCTGAATCTGAGCCAGTAAGGCAGGTCCCTGGGCAGTAGATGGGCAGGTGAGGTCCTACCGATACCCACAAGGGTGGATTTCTGACAGAAGGGTAGCCAAGGCCCCAGAAATAGCACCATTCACCAGGCTGTACAGCTGGACCTGAATGTTGTGGATTATTTTAAGGTGTGTTATTTTTGTTTATATTGTATTTGTTTAACTCTGTGAAGCTGTGTTACTGCTGTGCCTGTCTAAAACACCTGATGGTCTAATAAAGAGCTGAATGGCTGATAGCAAGGCAGGAGAAAGGAAAGGCAGGGCTGGCAGGCAGAGAGAATATATAGAAGGAGAAATCTGGGAGAAAAAGAAAAAGAGAAGCCAGAGAAGGAGGAGGACTCCAGGAGCCAGTCACCCAGCTACACAGCCAGCCATGGAGTAAGAGTAAGGTTTACAGAAGTAAGAGACTGGGAAAAGCCCAGAGGCAAAACTAGATGGGATAATTAAAGTTAAGGGAAGCTGGCAAGAAACAAGCCAAGCTAAGGCTGGGTATTCATAATTAATAAGCTTCATGTGTGATTTATATGGGAGCTGGGTGGTGGGCCCCCGGAAAAGAGCAAAAGCAAACACCACCACCTGAACTCAGGTAACCCGCCCCTGGCCTCTGCCACCCACCCTGCTTGTGGTGCTACAAAAGCCAGCTCTTTGCTTCTGTTCAGCTGCTTCTCTAGCTGAAGAGCCGCCCCTCTGCTTCACCAGGTGACTTTCAGTTCCTCACTGATATGCCATTCCTCTTAAAATATCTGAGGTGCCACGCTTGGCTAGTCCTACTGCAAAACACTGCCAAACAGCCCCACCTCATCCTGCTGGAATAGTGTGCACAGTATCACACCCTGTCTAGGTGGGACCTCCCTGAAGGCCAAAGCCACAGAACGCCTGCCTAGAACGGCAGTAGGCAGAGTGCATGGGACACAGCCAGATCTGTGGGAACCTAGAGCCGGGGGCTCAGGAAACAGAGGGCAGGGGAACCTGAAGCCCAGTTGTGTCTGAGCCCCAGGATGCTGTGCTCCCTGGGCCAAGAGCAGCCTCAGGTGAGCCATCCTCAGTCTTGGTCCAGGCTAGCTCCTCCCTACCTCACCTGTGCTGTGGGGGTCTCATTCTCATCCTCACTGCTGGATTCCTCCTCGCTGTCCCCCGAGTCTTCCTGAGCTGTAGCCCTGACCTGGGCAACTGTAGTCCCTGTCCTCCCAGGGTGCACTGGGGCCATCCCTTGTCCCGAAGCAGCTTTCCCCTGGAGGCCCTTCCCCACAGACGTCCCCTAGAATGACAAGGGGGTGAAAGGGTTTCACAGGGGCCTGAGATGCCCCTTGGGGAAGAGCAGTGAGCCACCCAGGCAAATGCGGGCCTCACCTGTACCCTCGTGGCGCCAGGAGCAGCTTTTGACTCAGACTCACTAGAGGATGAGGTGCTCACTAGCACAGGGGCAACTGTGGCCGATGTGGGGGTGCCTTTCCTCGGGGAAGCCTTTGCCTGCTTTTCCAGAGCTGGTTTGGCCTGTGGAGAGAGCACAGAGGAAGGCTGGAGAAGACCCCTTGATTCACAGGCCACATCTGTTCTGGGATGCAGCTCCTCCTGGCCTCCCTGCCAACCAGAACCCACATAACTCTGAGAGGAGGTGTACCGGCCAGGCCCCCTCTCTGCTCCTCGGGCTCCCCACCTGAGACGGAGCGGAAGCTGCTGGTACCGCCGCCTCCTCCTCATCGCTGTCCGTCGACTCCTCGCTGCTCTCCGAGTCCTCTTTACACCCTTCACTCTTGACCTGGGTGGCCACAGGTGCCGCCTTCTGAGGGAGTGCAGTAGGGGGAGCCCTCCCCCTGACAGCCTTTGCCTGGAGGGAGACACACGAGATCAGTGGGGAGCCCCAGGAAGGACACATGCAGCAACTGGAGACGGAGACAGGGACGCCTGGAGGGAAGGGTCTGGAGCGTGCGGCCACACGGGCTCACCTTGGCTGGGGTCAGAGCCCCATCGTCGCTGTCAGACTCCTCGCTGCTGCTCCCCGAGTCCTCTTCTGCCTCTCCCGTTTGGACCTTGAGAGCTGCTGACCCGGCTTTCCCGGGGCAGGGTGGCTGGGCGCCTTTTCCGGAGGACCCCAGGCTCACAGCGGAAGCAGGTCTGACCTGAGGGCTTTTCCCCAAAGGTTTCATCTGTGAGTGACAGAGGGCGAGATCAGGGGAAGATGGCCTGGTTTTGAAGGGTGAGGAGTACAGCCAGAAGGCCTTTCTGGGCAGGGCACAGGGCTCCTGGCCTCACCTGGGCAGGACTTGTGCTCAGGGTCGCAGCGGCTAGTGTCTTCCCGGTGTCGCTCCCGGACTCCTCACTGCTGCTGTCCGAGTCCTCCGGCTTCCCTGCCTGGGCCTGGGCTGCCACAGGCCCTGCCTTTCCAGGGGCGACTGGAGGAGCCCCTTTCTGGGGGGACCCCTTGGCAGGAGCTGAAGTACTCCTGACCTGAGGGTTCTTCCCGGAAGTCTTCGCCTGGTGTGAGAAAGTGAGGAGTGAATCAGAAGGTAGGTAGGTGCAAAGCTCTGACAGAGCAGGTGGGCTGGGACGCGCTGAGTGGACAGGTCCAGCAGCCTGCTGGGTCTAGGCTGGGATGTCCCCCCCCAGGCTTCACCTGAGGGGTGGAGACATCCACTGGCGGCTCCTCCTCCTCCTCACTGTCAGAATCGTCCTCACTGCTGCTCTCTGTGTCCTTCTCTGGCCTTCCTGCCTTGGCCTGGGCGGCTGTGGGCCCAGTCTTCTCTGGTGGTGCTGAGATGGGCCCTTTTCCAGAGCTCTTGGCAGAAACCGAGGCAGCTGCGGCCTGAGGAGCTTTCCCAGGGGCCTTTACCTGTGAAAGACAAACCAATTCACTCTTCTAAGTTCCTCTGGTGATGCCATCAGGAAAAAGCCCAGAGGTTCCCGAGACACCAATTTCCCTTCTCACCTTCACCGGAGTCCTAGCTACCCTGGCCCTCTGGTTCCTTGGCAATGACCAGCTCCGTATCCTTTTAGCACCAGAGACCTGACCCATTTCACCTGGCCACTACATCCTTAGCCCCCAGTGACACCGGTATGGACAGCCCCTGCACGTAAGTGGTTAGATCCTTAGCTGGAAAAGTCCGCTCTGTGGGTACAGGCACTGGCCTCTGAGTCTGGACAGTTCATGAACAGCTGGCAGGGCTCAGGGCAGAGACGGGGTATGCAAAGGTAGTTGGTAAGGGATATCCTGAACACAGGAAAGTAAAGCTTCCTTGGGCTTCCTGTGGTAGACAGCAACAGGACCCCAGAAAGCCTGTCCTCAGCCTCCTAGATCCAGTTCCCACATGGCCTCCTCTTTATCCACTCTCCCTACTGTTCTCAGCCAAAGGCTCGCCACTGCCTCTAGGTTGTGGCAGGGCGGCCACAGGCCTTGTCTTCTCATGAAGGTCTTGTCCACCCTGTCCCAAATTTCCTGGAAAGTGGCTCTGGACCTTCTAAGACCTTCTGTGAGGAGCAGTGACTCCTCACAAGTTGCATTCAGCTTGTCTCTACAGATCTGAACCAGCACCCACAATGTAGCCCCGAGCAGGGTGGGTCTGTACACCTGTAACTTACCCCAGAGCCTCAACGCCCAACTATTTCCCCTGCCCCCTTCAACTTCAGGTCCTTGGCTATAGCTCTCCTTCTGGGGCCTTCCCTGGCCACTTCACATCGTCAACCAGCTTGTCTTTAACATTTTCACAATTGCACGCACGCTTTCCCCACCCCCAGTCCTAGATGTGGACTGCCCTACTTGTTCCTCCTTGCTCTAAATGTAAAGGCTTTCTAGACCTTTTTGCTCATCCCAGGGTGTGTTCAGGGTCATGAGATTGCTAACGGAACTACACTCCACGGGAAAGCCTCCCACCCCACCCCACCCAACAGGAACAGAAGAGATTCTCTCCAGTGTTTGACTGCTCAGGGTCTGGTTTGGCGAGAAAAGCCGAGAGAAGACCTTCAAACTTCTCAAGACTCCCCGGGCACGTGTGGTGGTCTGAAGGAGGATGGCCCCCACAGGCTCCCAGGTTTGAATACTCGGTCCCCTACTGATGGAACTGTTTGGAAGGATTAGAAGGTGGGGCCTTGTTCGAGGCGTGTCACTGGCTTTGAGGTTTCCCAGTTAGCTTTCTGCTTGTGGATCAGATCTAAGCTCTCAGCTGCTGCTCCAGCTCCACGCCTGGTTGCTGCCCTGCTCTCCCCCATGATGGTCATGGACTCTAATCCTCGAACTGTGGGCACCCAGTTGAATTTTCTCTTTTACAAGCTGCCTTTGTGATGGTGTCTCATCATAGTACATGCCTGGAACCCCAGAATGTGGGAGGCTGAGACAGTAAGGGCGTGAGTTAGAGACCCAGCAGGGCCAGCTATGCTGAGGACAGTTGTACACTCGCCACTATGGAAACCAAGGCAAATAATGTAATCACCGGAGTGTAGGACCTGCCCCCCAGGAGTCAGCCATTCTGGCTGCAGTGTGGGCCCAAGGGGCCATTTCCACAGGACTGAAGGCCCCTGGCTGTTTTTTAACTCGCCCCCACTCTTCTCCATGAACTCTGGCCCTCTTTACACAGTGGCTTTGCCAGCATCGGGAGCCCTAGGCAGTGGGCCAAGGGACAGCCCTCCCTGGGCTCACCTGGCTGGGCATCCCAGCAGGGGGCTCATCCTCACTCTCGGAGTCCTCCTCACTGCTCTCCGACTCTTCCTTGTCTGCAGTCCTCCCTGGTGCAGCCGGTGTGCCTTCTTGGAGCCGGGGCGTCACACTCCCTAACTTGGTAGGGCCTGGGGCTGTTCTTGCTGGTGGCTCCTTGGCCGGGGCTGGGGACACTTTGGCCTGGGCTGGTTTTACCGAAGGTTTCACCTAGAAGCAGGAGACAGAAGCAGCAGAAGAAAACCATTTCCCCTTTGCTGTCAAGCTCTGTGGCAACAGGAATGAGAAGGGCACCCTGAGGTTCATGTTTGAGTACTGGGTTCCCAACTGGTGGAACTGTTTGAGAAGGATCGGGGTAGGCTTAGGTTTCCAAAGACTCGTGTTATTCCTGGTGTTCCCTCTCAGCCTCCTGCTTTTGAATCACACTGTGAGCTCCCAGCTGTTCCTGCTGCCATGCCTTTGCGCCACCATCATGGACTCTGACCCTCTGAAACTGTAAGTCCAATTAAACTCTTATAACTTGCCTTGGTGTCTCAGTCACTGTTCTATTGCTATGAAGAGACACCATGACCAAGGCAACACTCGTAACAGAAAGCATTTAATTGGGGGCTGGCTTACAGTTTCAGAGTGTGGTAGTTTGGATGTAATTGGCTCCCATAAGCTCATAGGGAGTGGGAGTGGCACTATTAGAAGGTGTGGCCTTGTTGGAGTAGGTGTGGTCTTACTGGAGGAAGTGTGTCACTGTGGAGGCGGGCTTTGAGGTCTCATATATGCTCAAGCCATGCCCAGTGTCTCAGACCACTTCCTGTTGCCTACAAGTCAAGATGTAGGACATTCAGCTACTTCTCTAGCACCACATCTGCCTGCATGCCACCTTGTTGCACCATGATGATAATGGACCAAACCTCTGAAACTGTAAGCCACCCCAATTAAATGTTTTTCCTTTATAAGAGTTGCCGTGGTCAGGATGTCTCTTTATAGCAATAGAAATCCTAACTAAGACATAACGGTTTAGTCCATTATCACCACAGCAGGGAGCATGGTACTAGAGAAGTAGTTGAGAGCTACATCCTAATCCACAGGCAGAGAAATGGAGTCTGGCATGGGTTTTTGAAACTTTTGAAACCTCAAAGCTCACCCCTAGTGGTGACACACTTCCTCCAACAAGGCTATAACTCCTAATCCTTATAATCCTTTCAAACAGCTCCACTCCCTGGTGACCAAGCATCCAAATGTATGAGCCTATAAGGGGCCACTCTCAGCAACAGAAAAGTAACCACTACAAGCCCCTTCCTAAAAGCACATGCTCTCCCAGAGGCAGGCAGAACTTACTCCCTGTTTCCAAAAAGGCACAGATTGTTCAAGGGCAGCACAAAGGCTTATAGGACCCCTGGCTACCTTTCAGGCAGAACTCAGCCACCATGCCCATTGACACACAACACGGTCCATCCTGAGGGGACCCTCAAACTAAAAAGCATCTGCCTGTGGTAGCTATCCAGGGAGAGGCGCCTGGTATCTGCACTGGCATGAGCTTCTTCCTGGGAATTCCTCAGTGTCCCAAAATACTGACAGCCTAAGGTTACTGGTACGTTAGTCAGCCCCTGCTCTACTTGTGCATCCCATGCCCCACACGACCTTTCAGTATCCTGTTCTTCCCAAACAGCTCACTGCTGCCAGAGATCCACACTGGTTTCTGGTCCAATGTGGTATACTTAGGTGCTAGACCTCCAGGAGCAAGGCCTGGAGTGAGGGGATCCAGAGGTGTCCTTATGCCTTATGATACTCAGGGCCCAACAGCAAGAGAGAAGGTAAGGAGCAGCCTGTGGCCACATCTTGGATAGATGGGGATGCTCAGCCTTCACAGGGTCACTGCGTTTGGTGGAGCAGCACCCTAGGCACTGTATCAATCTATCCCTGGCTCCTGCTGGTCCTCCGTCTAAACTGTCCAACCATTTGACATTATGATACAACACTGTAATTTACAAAGTTCATGCCCAGGATCCAACAACCGAAATAAAAACACCCTCATGTTTTATATAAGATGATGGCTTTGTATCGGGCTGCGGGTTGGCTACACCTGCTAACAGTTATTTCTAAATGGGACACCTTGTCACTGTTATGTCAGCCCTCCAGTGGTCCTCACTACCTCAGTTTTGTGTTTGAAACCCTGTGACGGCCCCTCAGTGACCCTACAGATAACCCCGAACACCTACACTGGCCTGCTAGCTCAGACAGCGAACTGAGGCTCTGCCTTGTCTAACTTCCTCTCGAGCCACATTCCCCTCACGCAAGAAACTGCAGATCCATGTGCTTCAGACACACAAGCCCCCTCCACTTGTCTCTGCTGGTGCGGTGACTTCTGCCACATCTGCTCACCGGGTGTCAGGCGGACCCCTATGGCTTTCTGTTTTCCTTCCCCACGAAGGTAGGAAGTCCGCCTACCCAGCTCACTTTGTAGACTCAAGTTCTGGTGTTAAGTATTCAAAATTCAGAGACGGGGCTGCAGACCAAGGGTCCTGCCAAATTCTAGCCCAGCACCTACATTCTCCATTAGGCTCAGAGTCCTCTTGGCAGCCTTACCCCTGACCCTGTCAGTTACATTCCTGATCCCATGTCTTCCTCTCCCAGCATTCCATGCCTACCACCCAGGAGGGTGTCTCCCTCTCATCACACTGGACCCTGATGCTCAGCACATCCTGAGCAGTACCATGTTCTTCATCCCACAACTGCTCAGCCTCGGCTGTAACCTTTTCAGCTGCTGACATGACTGCTGAGCGGATAACTGGGATCTGAACACCAGCAAGGTTTCTGGGAGGGTCGGAGGCCGCAAGACAGCATTGCCTGGGGATGGGTGCCAATTACCTCTACATCTGTCTCATCACTTGAGCTGGAGGTATCTTCACTGGAACTGCTGGCTTGGCCCGTTGACAACATTCCTGAGGATGGACACAGGGGACTGAGTACCCTTTCCACATTCACCTCCCTTCCCAGAACCCCCATGCCAGCTGCTAGTCAAATCTAGGTGCCAAACACTTTCTCACCTGTACAGAGTTAGCTATCTGCTCTGACCCAGCCCCCAGCTGGGGTGGGGACCCTCACTACCCATTTTTACATCTCTCGAGGCCTCTCTAGCAGCACTCGATGGTTAATCAAGTCACTCTTGGCTATCACACTGGGGCATGGGGGACAGACTGGGCACATACCTATTCTGCCTAAGAAATGCAAACAGGCCTATGCCTTTCCATTTAGTTTCTAAGTGGCCACAGTGGTCCCTGTAACCCACCCGAGAGAGAAGGCAGGAAATGCCACCCTCTGAAAAGCCCGTCTTGTCTGAGCAGCAGACCTAGGAGGTCAGGAACGGGGGAAATGGTTGTCGGTGCAGACCCTGACTGTCACTGAGACAAACCTGCGCTCAGAATGTCTCAAACAGCACACCAGTGCTTAGGCCTGCCTCCCTGTCCCAGGCTCTGGGGGCCTCTCACCAGGCTTGGCAGTGGCACCGAGGGCTTGGACACTGCCCTCCTCCTCAGTTTCTGAGGCCAAGACAGTGTTAGCCGAGGGCTCTGCTGACTTCTTGGGTGACTTCCCAGAGAGCAGGTGGACCACTGCCTTTCCTGATGCAGGATGCAACACAGAGTTGACCATCTTGTTGGCTGTCTTGGTCTTTGCCTACAGAGTACGAGAGGGATGAGCACTCTGTCATGACAGAACACGTGAGAAACAGAGCCCGCCCACCCCCACCCCCCTTACATGTGGGCCCAACATGGCCACTTCCCACCTCCTTCCCTAGTCTAAGGGCAGTCAGCTCTGGCCTGGAACAGCCAAGTGACTTGTCACCTTGTCTTTATAGTGGATGAAGATGCCTTTCTCAGGCGTTAAGTGCATTACCATTCCTGGGTCACAGTAGCTCCTGCTCTGCATTAAGCAATAGTTCATTGTGATATCTTTATTTCATCATTACATTTACAGATTATTGCTATGTTCTGGTTTCGGTGACATAATCATTTCTGTAACTGCAACAATGTTTGCAGATTACTGACAAATGACATTTTCTAAGTACTTTCTGCTTTAGAAAATGTGTAGAGGGTACAAACACAGAAATCTTATTTATGATGGCACTCCACTGCCTAGCAGAGCCCACAACACACGAGGTACTGGAGAAGAGCTACTCAGGAAGCAGGTGAGTGTAGCAGGAGGAAGGAAACGCCCATGTGCCATGTGGCTCGAGGTAACGAGGATCACTTCTAGTTCACAGAAGAGGCACCTACCCGAGGCCCAGATAGGTGAAGACACAGACTGAGCCTTACCACCCTATCCTGACACTGGAAACTAAGCTCTACTGGATGTAACTCCCACAGGCAACAAATAACTCGGAAACAACTCACCTGGGCCTTTTCCTTCATGCTTGACGGCAAAGCTGCAGCCATGGCTGAGGAATTGACAGATGTCAGTCTTGGGGCTGGAAGACACAAACGCTGTGAGCAAGGCGGCCTCTTCTCATCTGGGAAAGATGAGCAGAGTCCACCCCATCTCCAGTCCTACTGGTACTGCTGCTTAGTGCTAGTATGAGGACCCGAGGCCTAGCCCAGAACCATGAGAGAGCTCTGTGATGCATCAGCTTGCTTACCAGGTCGGCACCCCTGAGGGACTCCCAGCTGCTCCATGGCATGAGACTCGGAGGCCCCCAGGGAAAGGACAGGCTTACATTCCTACCACCTACTACCACAAAAGACGCCTGACTCTGGCCAGCGCTCTCTGCACAGGGTGCCAACCCTCAGTCCTGATAATCCTGGCAGGCAGGGCAGTGATCAGGCGGCCAGCCCCAGGTGACAGAGAAAGCTCTGTGGAAGGTAAGTGGTTTCCTGGTGGAAATGGTGCTGACCCAGGAGCTGGGCCTGGTTGGAGATACTGAGATTCAGACTATGGACGGTTTTAGGGAACGGTCACCTTAGATCTCAGGTACAGGGGATGTTATCATTAAAGGGACAATTGTCGAAACGGACAGCACGACTGAATTAGTTCCTGGCACTTCATAGAAGTATACAAAAAAAAAAAAAAAACCACATAGCTCTGGCCTTTATTGTGACTTCCTATCAACTTGTGGCCAATCTTAGTCACATACCGCCCCATGTTCCCCCTCCACATCACACATTATTTTGAAGAAAATGCTTGACATCCTGTCATGTCACCCACAAATACTTCAAAGAGGACTCTTTGGCCAGATGTGGTGGCACATGCCTATAATGCTAGTACTCAGAAAGCCGAGGCAGGATGTTCCTCAGTTTGAGGCCAGCCTGGACTACATAACAAGACCTTGTCTCAAGAAGAACTAAGGAAAAACAACAAAAACCCAAACCAAAAAACAAAAACCCAAAATGTAAAAAGTCAACTACAAGTCCATCACCACAGTTCTAAAAATTGATTACTGGCAAAAGGGATTGCAGAGCAGGGTGGGGGGTGGCACATATGGGACGGGACCTACTACTGTTGTTTTGATGTCAAATTGCCCGAGTGTGTGTGTGTGTGTGTGTGTGTGTGTGTATTCACCTTTCTACAGCGGGCAGCAATGCAGAGACCCCATAACTTGTCAAAGTTGAGAGTAAGTGTCGACTGAGCTCTCAGTCCTAAACGGGACGCAGATCAAGCCTCCAAGGCTCAGGGAACATTACAGAAGAGCAGGCAGAAAGGATGCAAGAGCTGGTGAAGTGCTGTCATGTGGACATGACAAGGTCGTTCTCATGACCTCACTGTTGCTAGAGTTAACTACACAAGACTGGTCAACATTCAAGCAGGCGGCACTAATTGGACTCAGTGGATTGATCACAACAAAACAAACATGAAAAAGAAAAAGAGGATATTAGGTGGGAGGGCATATTGGGGGCGTCCTGGGGGAGTCGGGTATGGGTACGATCATCAACATATATTGTACACATGTATGAAATTGTCAGAGAATAAATAAAAGATATTGTTTAAAAATTGATTACTAGCCGGGCGGTGGTGGCACACGCCTTTAATCCCAGCACTTGGGAGGCAGAGCCAGGTGGATCTCTGTGAGTTCGAGGACAGCCTGGGCTACCAAGTGAGTTCCAGGAAAGGCACAAAGCTACACAGAGAAACCCTGTCTCAGGGGAAAAAAAAAAAAAAAAATTGATTACTATTAAATACCCAGGCAGTACAAACATTTGCCATTTCTGTTTGAAGCAGGATTCTGTCCACATGCACATAGGTGGACACCTGTTTGACTGGAAGAAACAGGGCAGGCTTATAGGCTGCCCACCAAGGGGCATGGGCAGGACATGATGGGGATGAGGGCAGGAAAGCCTGCATTTTTCCTCTGTATGCTTTTTATATACACACTGGACCTGCTCTGCATTTATCATTTAAGATCAAGATATAAAATATATATCCAGTATCCTCTCAAACATCTGGCACACAAAAGAAAAATAAATTAAAGACAAGACTGCAGAATTGGAGGTGTGTCACTAGGGCTGTGCTCTGAGGTTTCAAAAGCCCACACTGGCTCTTTGCCTGCAGACCAGGATGTAAAGCTCTCAAGTACTGCCATGCCTGCCTGCCTGCCACCGTGATGATCATGGACTAACCCTCTGAAATTGTAAACAAGTCCCCCAGTTAAATGCTTCCTTTTATATAAACTGCCTTGCTCATGGTGTCTCTTCACAGCAATAGAACAGTAACTAAAACAACCAGCAACTCTTGAAGCAGCCCCAAGGCCACTCATAAGAGGGAACCGTCAACACCTTCTGAAGTGGTCCCAACACTTGCACAAATGTGGTCTCCTTCCCATCTTTAGCAGTAGCATTGAAAAACGGCTCCTGGGGAGTGAACCGAACAGCTGTGTGGACCTTTTTTTTTTTTTTTTTCTTTTTTGAGACAGGGTTGTAGTCCTTGCTGGACTGGAATTTACTACGCAGACCAGGCTGGCCTCAAACTCACAGAGTTTCATTTGTCTCTGTGTTGGGATTATATGTGTGTACCACTGTTGCACGAATCCTAATTGGTCTTATAATAAAAACCCAGAGCCAGATATTGGGGTAAATGCTGAATGATCAGAGGAAACAAGCCACAGCCACTTCTCACCTCGCCAACTCCTCAGCTGAAAGGGGAAGATCCTGTCTCCACAAATCCTCAGACTAAATGCCCATGAGCCCGCAGCCAAAAGGGCACCAAACTCCTGTCTCCTCCCGCCTTACATTCCTTTCTCTGCTCAGCCATATCACTTCCTGTCTCAACCTTCCTAGTGCTGGGGTTAAAGGTGTGTGCCTCCACTGTCTAGCTCTGTTTCTCTTTTAGACTGGATTAATCTCATGTAGTCCAGGGCGGCTTTGAACTCACAGAGATCCAGATAGGTCTCTGCCTCCCAAGTGCTAGGATTAAAGGTGTGTGCCACCACTGCCTGGCCTCTATGTTTAATCTAGTGGCTGGCTCTGTCCTCCGATCTTCAGGCAAATTTTGTTAGAGTACAAAGTATCACCACACACCACCACATCTAGCCTTCTGGGATCTTATGATTCTCCTTTGGATCCTCAGAATTTGGGGTCACAATGTCTGCCACAAAGGAAGGGCTCCCTGGAACTTTCTAACTTCCCTCTGAAAAGCCCCATTTTTTTCTGGGCTTACACTAAAGAATGATTCGGAGGGGAACACTGCTGTGGAGCAGACTGGCACTCCACAGTGGTTCCAGGGGCAGGCCCAAACCCCACACAACACCTGGCAGGAAGGGTTCTTACTGGCTTTGGCAGCTTCAGGTTCTGCCTCTTCCTCCTCCGAGCTCTCTGAGCTACTAATGGGGTCTGACACCCGGAACTTCTTGGCCTGCAGGGCCACATCATCTTTTGCCTTCTGCTTCTGGCCAAGCTCCGAGGTCCTGCAGGACAGAGAAGACAGGACATATCCATGAGATTTGGGAAGCCAGACTCCTCATCTACTCAGCCTTCAGAGAGTTTAGCGACACCAGCACAGTGTGGAATTGTCTGTGCTCACCCACTTCCTAAGGTACTGTTCTCAGTGTCACAGGCAGCCAACAGCGCGACAGAACAGCAGCAGCTAACAACCACCAGGTGCCTGGCGACAGCCCATGGGGCACCGGACAGAACCATCCAGGTTCTTCTCACCCTAGAACTGTGTCCTCCTCTTGTGCTGGGGTCCTTGATCTTCCCTTCCTGAACTTGAGTGTGGTGCAAAGTGTCTCTGCTAACTAACACCCCTCCCCCACAGCACTCTGCACGGCCATCCAGTTTCATTTCCTTCTCGGTCTTCTGCAGACTGCTTGCTGGATGAGTCCCCCACCCTGTACGAACGGGCGCCAGAGAGGAGGACAGCAACTCACTACAGTCCCCCAGAGCCTGGTGTATACCTGGAGAAAGGATCCATTATGGAACTGGCCTGGGTCAAGGAGGAAGCAGGGTGGGGTGGGGAGTGTGTGTGTGTGTGTGGTGTAAGACAGCTTAGGCCCCTGAACTTTGACCTCCCCCTCCCCGCTGCAGGAAGCCACTGTCCAAGCCCCCTTCTTCCCAGCTGGGTTTGACACTGCTCTGTCAGTCTGGGATGTGCTGTCAAGGTCCCTTCTTCTTAGGAGGCCACTTGTCAGGAAGCTGCTTTTATTACATGTATCAATTTGTTCCACCCCTCTCCTCCCAACAGAACGTGAGTTTCACAAGAATAGAGATTTTCCCATCTTCTTTCTCATTCTCCGATTTATCAAGAATGGTATCTGAGGAGAGTATCGGGCAGGGTTTCCACTGGCCAGTTCTGGGATTTCACTAAACAGACCACCGTGTTTGAGCTTCACAATGCAATGAGATAACAATGTTCACTTTGCAGATCAGGTGCTCACAGAAGTTGCTCAAGGTCATTCGGCTAATGTCTGGGTTTGACTTTACAGGTAATCACCGGTCCAGGCTGGATCTGGCAAGTGAGATCTTTGGTCCACTCTGTGCCCCTCACCCACAGGGGGAGCCAGAGGCAGGAAATAGTGTGTGGCGCAGCTCAGGGAAGGAAGTACCGTAAGTAGCATCTGCACACCTGGGCAAGATGGTGAGTGCCCTGTGCTCGCCAAGCAGCAGAGGAGTGTTAAATATGGATAGGAGGGGGACCTTAGCTCCCCCCAGAGCCTGGCATCCCCTGCCTTCAGAGCTGTCATGAGGGAGCACTCAGATTAAGTGCTCATGTCCGGTGCCAGGCACCCACCTTCACTTGCCCTTACTACCGCCATGGCCTCCTTTGACTCCTGCCTGCCTCCCCGATTACAATGTGAGTGACCAGAAAGAAGAAACCAGCCGGTCGGTGGTGGCCCACACCTGTAATCCCAGCACTTGGGAGGCAGGTGGATCTCTGAATTTGAGGCCATGCTGGTCAACAGCCAGGGATACATAGGAAACTCTATTTCAAAAAAACCAGAAAGTCCAAACAAACAAAAAGAAAACAAAACAAAGAAAAAGAAACCAGCTCTCTCAATTCTTTTTTGTTTGTTTTTCTATGGCAGGATCTCACTATGTGAGGACCAGGCTAGCCCTGAACCCTCTGCCTCCCAATGCTGAGATTAAAGAAGGCCTGAGCCACCACAAGCTTTTATTCTTAAGAGCTCTAGCTTTCACTGGGCGTGGTTCAGCATGCCTTTAGTCCCAGAACTGGAGCCAGCCTGGTCTCATAGTGAGATCCTGTCTCAAAAACAAAATAAAACAAATATAAAAAAAGAAAGAAAAGAGTTGAACATCCAGCTCTGAATGTCTCCCCTATGACAAACTACACACAGAGAAATCCCCATACATGTGATGTCACCCGCCTTCTGAAGGGGGTAAGTATGTCCACAGTGGGCTATCAGGTCTCATCTTAGGCCGCGTGAGTACACTGGCTTGTTGCAAAGACAACAGTTGGGGAGACCCTGCTCCATCCCTTCCACCAGACTTACTGCTGCCAGTGTGTATAGATGTCCAGGAGGGTGATGGGCTGAGTCAGGAAACTCTTCTGTAGAGAAATAATAAATAGCTTCAATAAGGACCCAATCCAATAGGTCTGCACCCTCCCTGGGCCTGCAACAGGTACCTCAAAAATGGTCTGTTTGCTCTTAGATATCTACTTGGAGTTACCAGCACCATTCAAAAGCTTCCAGAGTCAAGAAGGGCAAACAGTTCCAGTTACAAACCTTTCAATATGACACAATGGTAAGAGGTACTTTTGAGGGCTGGGCACGTGAACAGTCCAAACTAGCATTACTCGGCATCCCTAGCACAGTCCGGGGATGGAAGCCAGACGGCAGAGCTTTCCCTACCTAACCTCTTAGATGGTTTTCAAAGGCTTGGCTAGTCAATCTCCCCCAAACACAAGACAGCCCAAATCCTGAAGGCTTCCAGGTGACATACTGGAGCCTACTGGATGTCTGGAAAGAGACTTAGCCCAAATAGTGCAAGGGTCTCTTTTTCCCCCTGAGACAGGGTTTCTCTGTGTAGTTTTGGTGCCTGTCGTGGAACTCACTCTGTAGACCAGGTTGGCCTCGAACTCACAGAGAGATCCACCTGCCTCTGCCTGCTGAGTGCTGGGATCAAAGGCGAGCGCCACCACCGCCTGGTGGGTGCAAAGGTCTTAGTTAAAACAGAGGAAAACAGATACCAGGCCTAGGCTGAGAACACACTTGTGTGAACGTCGAGAGCAAACAGCCGAAGTGCTCCAATGGGAGTCAAAAGAGCCACATGCAGAGGAAAAACAAAAACACATGGCCGCACCCTTTGCCATTCTTGTTACCATCTCCTCATTTCCTTCTAGTCCACTCCAATGTCATCCTCTCCACAAGACTTCTCTGACCACCTTAGTTGTAACTGGAGCCTGACATCCCATAGCCTCCCTGTGGCCAGCAGCTGCCACAATCCAGATAGGCTAATCCACAAGCTTATTTTTATGTGTCTGCTCTGTGAGAGCAGGACACTCTTGCTTGGGCACACAAACCATGACCATGGATGGGCACTATGTCTCACTCGCCCTATCGGTTAAGTTATATAGTTGGAGTTACGAATGGGAAGGGAACCAAGGTCCAGAAAAGCCAGAGATAACATCTTAGGGCCTAGCAACCTTCTTCGGTTTTGAGTTAGTTTGGTTTTTGTTTTGTTTTGTTTTGTTGGTTTTTCGAGACAGGGTTTCTCTTTCTAGCTTTGCGCCTTTCCTGGGACTCACTTGGTAGCCCAGGCTGGCCTCGAACTCACAGAGATCCGCCTGGCTCTGCCTCCCGAGTGCTGGGATTAAAGGCGTGCGCCACCACTGCCCGGCTGAGTTAGTTTGTTTTTGAGACAGGGTCTCACAATGTAGCCGCTGGCTGGCCTTGAACACACTATGCAGACCAGGTTAGCCATGAGTTCACAACAGATCTACCCACCTCCTGCTCTAGAGTGCTGGGATTAAAGGCAAGGACCACCACACCCGGTGCCCCTGCAGTTTTCACTGTAGCTAAAGTGGTAGTGACTAACCAGGTCAATATCCATCTCACCACTGATTACCACTGTTTTTCTGCGAATTACCTACCCATCATGGATCATTCCAACCTGTCTGCTTTGCCTCCAACTCTCTGGGAGACTCTACAGTCGTGTATTTCAAACTTCAGGCACAGCAAATTTTCTGGAGGCGAGGACACTCAGAAGCTCCACTCCAACCTCAGGGTATCAGCGCCTCTAACTACCTTGAGCTCTCAAATTAACTACATCCTCAGGGAAGCAGTCCTGGATATTCCCCACCCAGATTCGACCACCCATGTTTTAGTATCTCAAATCTCCCATTCTACAGCTTAACACAATGCTAATCATACAGTCACTTTTGTGATTCTTTTTGTACCCTCTACTAGGCTGTGAGATTGGGTAGAGGGGCCTGAGACTGGCGCTCCCCATATCATCATCTGCACCTCAGGGCCAAATTGAAAGTTGCCAAGTGAAAAGAACTTTGAAATTCCTGCACCAGGAGTTCGAGTCTTGTCATAACCAAAGACAGTCACGGGCCTGCACGCCTTCGTTCGTTCGGCGTTCCCAACAAGAGTGGTGACAATCCACCCCAAGACCAGCGGCTAGCTGGGTGCCCTAGGAAAACTGCATAGAGCCACGTGGCCTGAGACTAGGGAAACTTAAACCTGCGGCTACCGGGGAAACCGCGGGGCGGGAATTACGAAGCTGCATGCCTCGGATCAGAGGTTCCTGCCCGCCCACTGTACTGAGGAGGAAACTGAGCCCCGGGAGGTGGCTGGAAGTCGCAGGGGCTAGGGCAGAGCTCAATGCTCCTCCTGCACCCCTGGCCCGCATCTCAGACCCGCTCTGGCCGGGTCTCCTGGGAGGGGCGCGGGCTCCTGCTCTCTAGGACTTGCACTCGGCCCTCAGCCGCTTACCTGGCCGCTCTGCTCCTTCACTTCCCGCGCCGCACGGACGAAGCCAGCCTGCAGCAGATGATGGTAGATGAGGGGAAGCAGCTCCCGCCGCTTCCTGGCCTCGGCCATGCCAGAGATCCCGCCAGCCTATTCACGTGCACGCCCCCTCGCCCCCCGCCAGCCTCTTCCCTCGCGCCCTAGGACCTCATGTTCCTCACTTCCGGCTCTGCGTCACTCAGCCGAGCGGCGCGCTGGGAAGTGTAGTCTTGTAGCTGGAATGGGCCAATCTGTGCGAGTGGGCGGAGCCACGAAGGCTAATCAGCTCTGCCATTGGCTAGGAGGCGTGGCCTGATTGGAACCTGCCCTCGGGACGGCCATGAAACCTTCATCTTAATTTTTTTGGTTTACTCCTTTAAGGGGTTTACTGTCCTGGTCTTATGATAGCTGCGACGTCTTTATTCATCTTCGAACTTCCCGATCACTGGCCCCAGCTTCCAATTACTCATTCATTTCACACAGTGTTTAGGACCCGTGAACCAGGCATCAGTTGTCATTAGTGTGTTGAATCGCTAAATAAATCCTTACCTGAGCCCCATACGCTAACACCCAGCTAGGCTGGGGACATGGAAAGAGAAACAAAACAAGCAGTTGACCTAAGGGTCACCCAGGCAGGAAGGAGATTCAATGAATAACCTGACGATTACAGTCCAGATGTCTGGTGCACCTTGTCTAGATAAGGCAGAGCCCATGGAAGCATGGAGGAGGCGCAGCTAACCCCAAAGAGACATCTAAGTGTAGACTCAAACACAGCTGAAAAATATTTTTAATCTTTTTCTTTTTTTTGAGACAGGGTTTCTTTGTATAGCCCTGGCTGTCCTAGAACTTGAGCTATAGACCAGGCTGGCCTCCAACTCACAGAAATCTGCCTGCCTCTGCCTCCTGAGTGCTGGGATTAAAGGCGTATGCTATCTCTGTCCAGCGACAGCAGAAACTTTTGAGCACAGAGGAGAGGAGAGGCTGCAGGTACTGCATAAGTCAGAATGTGAGGAACCTCTTTTGGTGCTTGGTAAGGGAACCCCAAACAGAATTCTATCCTGCTATGCTGTGGAGTTATGAAAAAGAGGGTCCCGAACACTGGAGGATAGAGAATCAGGCTTTTAGTATCTTTCTCCCAGCAGAGTTCTGACATGCTCCAAGAGAATATAAAAATAGATGCTGGCAGGTGGATCATTCATTCTCCCTCCACCTCCCCAGACAGGTTTTCTCTATGTAGCAGCCATGGCTTTCCTGGAACTCACTCTGTAGACCAGGCTGGCCTTGAACTCACAGAGATCCACCTGCCTCTGCCTCCGGAGTGCTGGGATTAAAGGCGTGTGCCACCACTGCTTGCTTACCTAGCACTTGGGAGGCAGATCTCTGAGTTGGAGGCCAGCCTGGTCTACAGATCGAGTTCCAGAACAGCCAGGAGAAACCCTGTCTCAAACAAGCAAACAAACAAGGAACTCCAGTGTGGGCTGCTGTGTTTGATGAGGGGACACTGACAAGGAGAGAATGGGAGTGGCCTGGGCAGATTTGAGGCAGCTGTTCTTAATTTCATGGACTGTTTGGAAATCTGCTGCTAGCTTTCACGCTAGGAATGTTATATGTGTCGACATACATTTCCACTCAAAATCAGAACCCACGTAAGCATGTACAATGATGACTCTTCAGTGGTGACTGGACTTTAGAATCACCTAAGAAGATACTCCAGTGGGCATGTCTGGTAAGGCGTGTCTGGGTAGGGCATCCTGTCCGAAAGCCTAACAAAGGCCTGCCTGCATTTTACCTGGTCTGCTGACATGTAACTGAAATCCCTGCCGCCATACCTTTCCCACCATGGTGGGCTGTGCCGGAATAAACCTTTCCGATTTAAGTTGCTTCTTGCCGGATATTTGGTTACAGGAACAAAAAAAGTGGCAAATGCACAGTCTAGGGAGAAGCAGAGAGGACCAGGTCACCAGAGTGAATGTAGCGTGTGAGGAAACAGACTGGTCTATTCAGACATTGAGCAAATATTGAATACCTAGTTGGAAACCAGATGGTCTGTACTCCCGCAGAGCTTACAAGGCTAATGAGGCGGGCACATGCTAAACAAATAGCCATAGCATACACTGAAGGGTGGGAGAGCCTTTTCTTGGGGGGAATGGTATAGTGTCTGAAAGCCACACAGAAGTCACACTATCTGGGTTTAAAAATTTGGCTTTGTTTCTTAGTAAGTGGGCTTGAAAGTTCTATAACTTCTCTGTGCCTTAGTTTATCTGTGAAGTGGAGATAATTACCATTTCTACCTCCAGTGGTTGTCATGAGGGGGAATAGAATTCTAAGCAGAAATGTTTAGAAAGGCCCTTAACAAGCCAGGCAGTGGTGGCGCACGCCTTTAATCCCAGCACTCAGGAGGCAGAGCCAGGCGGATCTCTGTGAGTTGGAGGCCAGCCTGGTCTACAGAGTGAGTTCCAGGAAAGGCTCCAAAGCTACACAGAGAAACCCTGTCTCAAAGAACAAAAGCAAAAACAAAACAAAACAAAAAAGGCCCTTAACAATAGTGAGGAGTTTCAATAATGTGAAATGGTGGGGAGTGCCCTGAGATGCCAGAGGAGATGGACATGGATCACACTTGGTCAGATTAGCATCATGGAAGACTGACTTGGGAAGTTTTGTGTGGAGGGGAGAAAAGAAGTGTGTATGTGTGTGTGTGTGTGTGTGTGTGTGTGTGTGTGTGTGTGTGTGTGTGTATTTGAGGAGGTGTGTTTTGAGTTGGAAGAGACCTAAGCTGGTTTAAAAACTGATGCAGACCCAAGGGAGAGAGATGAGGGCGGCATTTTTGGTGGAAAAGCTGGGGAAAGAACTGGGAAGTGATGTTTGAGGGCGTGTGGGAGGGAGGGATCAGGCTGTGGGTGGAGGGCTGGTCTGAGAGAGGGGGAGGCAGGACTTCAATAGAACCCCAAAGGGGGAGCCTGGAGAGAATGGGTGCACATGTGGATGTAGGTTTGCAGTGGGATGTTAAGGGAGATCTCATCTTGAACTTCTATTTTTCTCTTGGAAGTGGGAGGCAAGGTCTGCCGAGAGTGAAGAGGAGGTGGTGAGGAGTTGGAAGGAGGGAGAGTAATCATTCAGAGCATCAAGCAACTTACCCACAAGATCCTGGGTAGCCTGCTGGATTTGATGACCCCATTGGGCTGATAGAGGCCAGCGTGCTGTGTCCTAACCCGTCTTGCCGAACAATTTCTGTGGCCAGGGCTCAGCTGTCCAGACTCAGGCGAGGAACGGACTCAGAGGGTGTATCCAGGGCTAGGGTTTTGTCAAATGGCCAGAAAACAAAAGGGTGTGGACGTCTAAGGTGTTCCCAAAAGACCAGAGTGCCGTAAGAACTAAGCTGACGAAGGAGGGAGGGATGGGAAGGGCCAGTTTTTAGGAATTCAGCCTTTAGAGACTGGGGCCACCTTAGGTCTGGGGAACTAGAGACCAGGACCTAAGAAAGCTGACAGCTGGGTGAATGATGCCCGGGGAGTCTGCTTGCTTGCACAGCTGGGTGCATGATGAGCGTGAAGGATGAGCAGACAAGATTCAAAGACCTGTACTACCCTCTCCTCACAGGTTTCTCCTCCTCCAGGGCATTCTCACCCCAAATGATAAAGAAAACACCCTTAAAAGGGCCTTGTGATGCTGTCCCACCACAAGGACCTGCCCCCCACCCCAGCTGGGTGGCTGCGCACAGTATGTTCTGGTCAGTCGTGGCATGTGCCTTGAGAAGAGGTCAGGGTGCCTTTTACCAGCAGGAGTGTGAGCAGAGAAGGAGCCGAGTGTGTATCCCCAGCTGACCCTGGAAGGAATGGAGAGCTAGTATTAAATTAAAACAAACCAAACCTACACTAAACCAGGACGCTCTAATACCTCAGTCTGGTGGCAGGTTGTTTTGTTTTGTCCAAATAAAATTCATTGTCAGATGCCTCTTCGGAGGACAACTTCTTTATTTCCCGGATTTTCTAAATCATATCCTTCAGTGAGTTGCCCGAGGACCCAGGCACAAAATTAAAACCCATAATACATAACATGGCAACGGTTAAGGCAAAAGCAAACAAAGATGTGCATTAAAAGCATTTGCCTTGGAGCGTTTCTCTACCAGTTAGGAAAAGTTGACTTTGTTCACGGAAGAAGCTAGAAGCTTCCAGAGCACTCAACTTAAGTGTCCTTGGGCAAAGCAGCCTGCCTTAGTCACCTCAGGTTCCCAGGCAGGTCAGGAAAAGAAGGAAAACTGGACTGGAGGGATGGATGGCTTAGTGGCTAAGAGCACTCACTGGTCTTGCAGGGGACCTGGGTTTGAGTCACAGCACCGACATCAGGTGGCTCATCACTGCCTGTAATTTCAGCTCAGGGAAGCCAGTAGCCTCTTCTGGCCTCCTTGGGCACCTCCACTCGTGGGCACATACCCAATACATATATACATAATTTAAAATAACAGTAATCGTTTAATTTTTAATTAATTAATTTGAGACAAGGTCTCACTATGTAGCACTGGCTGTCCTGGAACTCACGATGTAGACCAGGCTAGCCTCAAACTCACAGAGATCTGCCTGCCTCTTCATCCAAGTGCTGAGATTAAAAGTGTGCACCCCTATGCCCAGCATAATAATATTTTTTTTAAGAAGAGAAAAACAAGAGAAAGGGGTTGGGGGTTTAGCTCAGTGGTAGAGTGCTTGCCTAGCAAGTGCAAGGCCCTGGGTTCGGTCCTCAGCTCTGGAAAAAAAAAACAAGAGAAAGAAAGAAAGTTCATTCAGCAGGTGGGGCTCTCTATCCTGTTCCCAGCAGGAATGTTTCTGTGGCACAGAGGAGAGGTAGCAGGACCAGGGACCACTAAAGAGCTTTTATGACCAAATTCTGCTGTGGGGCCTTAGGCCAGTCTCTTGTCCTCTCTGGTCCTCCAAAACGACCTTGTGTTAAATGGATCTGTGAACAAAGGCTGTTGTGCTGAACTCCCTAGAGGGGCCTATCTGAGAAGGTTGTGCCTGTCATTAGGCCAACTCAAAAGACAGCCCCCTTTCTCCGTCCTCCAGGTTCTCCCTGCCTCGCATCACTTTGGCACGTAGTTTTCCCAGCTCCTTCTCTCACAGGACAGCAATTTCTGTTTGTTGGTTTTCAATCCAGAGAAAGCTTTTGAAGGTCATTAAGTTGTTACTA